TTTACGGATTCAGACTACTCATGATTGACTACCCGTGACACTTATTTGAGTTCGCAAGTTATCTGGCGATATTTGTAATTACGAGTTCACTTACTTGTTCACGTCGTCCTCCATGACCTCTTGTCTATGTCTGTCGATAAGTGAACCCTATACCACAAATTTAACTGAGTGTACTGGTACAAAATAACTGTGGTTTTTTAATTTTTTATTGTACCTGAGTAGCCCTTTCGACTACTTTGTTAGTTTCAGTGTACTAATTTTGATGTTACGATAGGAAAACGTCCTTCGAACGTTGGAAATTTCTGCGTAACATTTGACAAATTCAAAGGCATGCCATTCGCACCTTCGGATGAAAAATTGGCGTGACTTGAGTTGTGCGATGTGATTAAATGTCACATGATCTGAATATGTAGACCTTTGTTGGTATCTAAGCCGTCCTTCCGACCAATTCATGGTTCCTGTTTATTATTTTTTGTTGGAAAGCCAGCTTTGAAATACCAGGATCGCCGAATAATTCGCCATTGCTTTTCGAATGTATCCGCTCTTCACAGTTAGGATTTCAAATACGGAACACCAAACTTTTGCTATAGTTAAGTCTGCATAAATTATATGCGTTATTTCAGTAGTAATGTAGTGGTCTACGCCTTCACAGCACCAGTGGGTAAATAATCCCAGCATCGCCAGATTACTTGACAGGTGGTTGGTCTTGCTTGACTGCGCAAAGTCCTATTTTACATGTTTAAAACATGGCTTGAATTTTGTTGTTGTAAATTGCGGCTTTGCCTTCAGGTGATATCGCGAATAACTTAGTGTCCTGAAACCTGTCTCTATGACCAAGGACCACGTAATCAAGTAGAGAATGTGAACGAAGAAATCATTATTCCACTCTTCACCCTCCAAGACTCGACTGAATTATTCACATTGACAACACTGTCGCTAAGGTCGCACTAGCTGCTTTGCAATAACCCCACTTGGTCTTCAACGGCTTTCAGAAAAAGCGTATTAAGTTATGTCGTCTCTGCACTAGTGCAGTACGCGACATGCGTTGCATCCTTTCTACACCCTTCGTATTCCATCGCCATTTGTCGATCCTTTAAAAAATCGAGTTGATAGAAAGATGGAAAATGCATTATGCTTTATTAGCATAGAGCTTACTAGTTTGCTGTCACTAATGTGATTAAATATCTCGACAGAGTAATGGAAAATCCGGTGCAGTGGTTGCTACACTTAAACCCATTGCTTCGAATACAGCTGGTCAGTTTGCTGAACTCATGCTGTGTTACAGCCACAAAATAGGCTTTTCTAGGCCTTAATAACCCGCGTGCAAGTTTTCATAAGGTCACAACAGATTATTCCAGGTGTGAACACGTTTTCACCACGAATTCGCCCTTCGGCACATCATCAATTTCAGCAGAAACTCAAAATTATCACAATTCCCAAGACTTACGCAAGCAGCAGTATCGTTTGCAATTGTGAATTTTTGATGGAACCATTCACATCTTTAAGAGACGATGTATTTCTTGTCTGGCAGCTCAGCAAATTGTCCCGACTATAAAGCCTTGTGTGGTGCTAAAAAATAATCCCTCTATCACGGGAACCGCACACCACTAAACCCAAGTCCAATCTTAGCAGCAATGGCTACCCGAAACCTAATACGAAGGATTTTACGATCCTTATAATCTTGGTGTGTACAAATTGGCAAATACTATCACAGAAAGTACAGTATAGGGAGGGAAATATCTTCGCTAGCCAGTACCCAAAACAATGTTGATGATCTAAGTGACTTCACGAGCATAACTTGTACCATTCATTAAAAAAATTGAGATCACGATCGTGAATTTTGAACAAAAGGGCTTTACAAATCATTACACAAAGATGAGTCACTGCTTTTTTTCGGTATTGCGCTAATGAAAGATTCGGAGCCATAACAGCATGTTCGGTCCATTCGATCTCGGAAAGCGGAGATTTCACAAAGAGGGCGAAGTCAGCACCTAGCGCCATTACTGTCGTGTACTCAGTCTAGAAGGCAATGGTCAGACTTGCTCCCGAAAATAGTTATCCACTGTGGCCTTAGCCAATCCAATCAATTGGTGACTAGTCGATTTCAGGTTCCGCAAAATATCTTCGACCCTGTGACTGTTGGTATGCAGGAATGGTTGTGGCCAACGCAACGCCAGTTTGGGAAGACAGAGACCCAAAGCCGTTTTTCGAACTCACAAATGTCCGTTTTACATGTTGATCTAGACAAAAACAATTCCAGAAGTCTAACTTCATTTTATTTGAACGCATCTGCAGCCGAATGGCCCTGGTTTGTGCCACGCCTAAGCCTAACTTAGAAAATCTGGGTTTTCCACTGAGCTAGGGTTCTGCTACCATACATTGTCTTAGTGTTCAAAGTTGCGACAAGGAATGGGTGTAGGCGAGCAAGCATGTAAGTGAGAAGTCGAAATAGCAGTTGCCAGTTGGGGATGTTTCGGTCTCACCGAATTGTCAAAGTATGTTAAAGGATGGCAAAGAAAATGGCAGCTTCCCTCCTTACTGATGGTTCCTGAGGAATATGCCAATCACACTCAGTGAAGCTGAAAAAAGTGGGTTTATTGGATTTAACACTTATTAGATATTTAACTACGGGAACATGATATGAGTTGTCCATAAGACTAGAACCATTATAGAGACCTCCACTTAATGCTTTCAATAATGTTGTAAGCCACAGCTCAGTAGTCAACGAAGACGGTAACACAAATTGACTTATACTACGCACTGTCAGACAACATCGCCAGCCGCATTTGATGAGTATAAACCCCAAATGCCAGCTCCGGTGACATTCTCCTTCCGTTAACTCGATCAGGTTACAGCCGGACGGCGATCGAACTCAAGTCCCAATCTAATGGTGTTTCAATCCCTTGACTAAACGGAAAAAACCGCATGAGCACACAGCACAGTAGGGCGGATTCCACCTTAACTACGATTCGTGACACCTTAGTTGAGGGATTCTGTCAAATAGTTGACAGCAAGGCTGCATGTTCGGTGTAAACAAAGCATATGCTTTATCCAATTTATTGCCAGAACGGGAATTCGTTGAAGGTCTACAAACTGTCATGAATTACGAGGGTCGTTGATGGATGCAACGCATGTCGCATACTACTCTAGTGCACAATATTCGGATTTTCCGTTTGCTGTGGATGAGACGTCATAAATTGATGTTTTTTTTCTGAATCAACGTTATTTAGACGCTGAAAACAAAATGGAGTTATAATTGGTGCCATAATGCATATGAGGGCTCGTGGTTTGGAATTTCTGAACTAACTGGTCTTGTGTGGAGCACCGGGTAGCTTCTCAATAAAGCTCGATTAGCAATGGATACCTCTTGAGGGCCTGTCACAACCACAATTGATGTTGCCAGGGCCATCGAGAGGCTACAATCAAAGGGTGCACGCGATACCAGTTACGCCAAGTACTTCGACAACAAGCTCACGATCTCTTTGGCGAAAAATCAGCATGGCAATGGAAGCAGGATCAATTCGGATTTAAATGCCCAAGTAAAATTTGTCAGGATTTTATTTACACCATCGAAGAAACCGAAATCAAATCAAATCACAGAGGTGTTAGTCGCTCCAAGAGAATCTCGAGGGCAATCCTGCGCTTCTGCAGGCCCACCAATTCCGAGGTGAGCTCGTTGTTCTCGCGCATGATGCGTTCGCACTCCGCCTGAGTTGGCAGCAGCATGGCTGTTAGTTGCTGGATCCGGTGATTCTGCAGCTCTGATTGCGACTGAGATGTTCCCTTTGATGAGGAGTTCTGAAATTGCCTTGAAAATTGAGAAAAACGGCGTTCAACGGGGCGCGTTAAACACTAGCTCTTTTAAACACGACAGTTTTTGGCGTTATACAAGCACATGTAGGTTACGGAGATGAATACTGGCATGCAGATTTGCCAGTGACATTACCGCGGATAAACCATACTCTGTCGAAACAGGATATTGCACCAGCAAAGGTCACGCGCGAGGTCAAAAAAGCTACGGGCTGAATGCACAGTCCCAGCAATAGTTGATTTACCGTTAGGCGAAGCGTTTAATAAATCATGAGCCTTTTCAACACTATTGGATAGGACAGTGATTTGACAGAGAAGGGATCATTAACAGGACGCGCTGCTTCGTGGAGTGCTGGAAGACCGGGTTTGGAGTTGCCACGGTGGCATGAACGTACCTGTATTTGGCGGTTTCAACGCACCTGTCTGACCCACGAGGACGAGAAGTTAACAATGCAGACCACGCAAACTGAATGACTGGTACTTACGGAGTTTGAGGAGGAGAGGACTGGTGTAGCTGAAAATAGTTAAAAAATACGAAATCCTCAACTACTTTTTTTGTAAAATAGCGTGCTCCCATCCAAAAAAGAAGAGTGCGTAGTCGCCTCTGATTTATGGTATAAAGGTAGGTTTTTGGTATGTAAAAAGAGAGCTCAACGGGAAACACTGGGAACACTACTTTGTTAAGTTTCCTAATTCTTCCCCAACTGGCTACCACTATCTTGGTCGGTGAAAATGCCATACTAGCTGACATCCTAATACGATTTACAAGAGTGATCAACAAGCTAGGCGCGTATGCGCTTTTTCTTAAACGAAAAAGTACAACATTGACTGTACGCAGCTGGCACCAATATGTCCGGGTAATGGGCCGGTTAACCTCAGCCACCGCTTTCAATCGACTCTATGTGATATTTCGGCTACAAAAAGAAGTGATCAAAATAACTATTTCCTCAACTGTACCGACAAATGTTTGCGGTACCGCTACACACGACATGACATTCAGCAAAAGACGTCAGCGAGAAGGAAAAAAAACATGCCATTTGACTTTGCGAAATGCCGAAAATAGGCGAATTGAGCAAATTAGCCACTAGAGGTTTGTGTGGACACTAGACAGAGAAACCCGCCCGGTTAATGAGTCACAAAACTTAAGATTGCTACATAAACACTGCAGCGAACCGCACTGATTCATGTCCACTAATATGGTTGTTGTAATCCGCGACACTATGCCCTCTCCTCACCCACTTCAGCCATGGTGGATCAGCCGTACCCACACACCCCGGTGCATGTACCTTCCCCCGGCTAACTATTGAACACGTCTGGCTATTCATTTATTTGTGCGGTAATTAGTTCGCCCCCGCTATCGATCAATAACTACAATAGGCAGGCACTACTGTGAACGCTCGCACGCACGCACCCACACAACACGACTCGGTCGAGCTGTCGAGTGAACGGTGGTGTCTGTCCCATCTCTGGTCTTCTCGGGCGTGGTACAAGACCCCACATGCCGGAGGCCACAGCAACACCTGGACTGGAGCACAGAGTGAAAGTGCTTTCAGTGAGGAGTCATCCCACGTGGTCGCCAAGGGATGTGAAGGGAGGGGTGTGCGGTTTCAACATCGGTGGCAAAGCACCACGCATCGTCACGGCCCACCGCGTGTCGGATTGCACGCCAGGGTGTGGTGAATAAACTGCCACGAGGTTAACGCCACCGGCCACCACGTGTAAGCGGCGGTGCTCGCACAACACTCCTCTCTTCTCCAAAACAGCCATCGAAGATCTACCACTGCAGACCTCAGTAGCATGGCAAGGTGAATAACCCGTATGATTCATGTGCGCACATCATAAAGGCGAAGACTTAAGTAATACGTATTATGTTCCCAACAAGATGTCAAGGAGGCACCACATTCAGCTAGGTAAAGTAATGTGCGTCACGGAGCTGGACAGAAACATGAGCAAAACTTGGCATCGTCTTTGTCAAAAATGATACTCAAGGCTGCATGTGTAGTGTGAACTTGTGCTGCTGTACATTGTACTTCATTTTAGGAAATTATCGCAGACATCAGAGGTCCAAATAATCCTTACTCCTTAGTTGAAGTTATTGAAGACGGAAGAGAGCGGAGATACGACGACCTCTGACCGGGCCAATGGTTAATGGAAATGCACTCAAGTAGGCCGTAAAACAGCCGCTTCCCAAACAATTTGGCATATTGCGTTAAGTTAGTGACAAAACAATCTAAGAGGCGTGGGTGCAGGCGGTGCGGTGTCTCGGGCTCCAGACAACTGCCATCAACGTTGGAACCACTAATCGGATCAGGGAGAGGAGACCACGCAGCCAAGTTGATGAGTTACGTGCCACAAACAGGCCTCGTTACTCGTGCCGCGTAATTGCTGTTGCAAGGCTAGACTCCAAAAACTTTCGGCGTGGTTAAATTTTTGCCTATCAGTCAAGATTTAACGGTTAATTTGTCATGTGTACCTAGAGGCCGTCGCGTGGGGTAGAATGCACTCGGTAGTGGCCCTACAGCAGCGGCGGCGCTTAAGCGTAGTGTGTGAGCATCAGTAAAGTGGACCACCACCAGTGAAGAAGTGTCAAGGTGGTCGACTTGCACAATTTCGTCTGAGAGACTTGCCCTCCGAAGATGAGCCCAAAACAGACAGTTCCTTAAGTTTACGTAACGAGATATCAAAGAACTCGAGTAATTATAAAGAAGGCAGAATAGCTTATTTATCACGAGATCGCGTAGATATAACTACCCTTGACTCGGTACCACACAGCAAATCAGTTCATGCGGAATTCAAGAATTACAAGAAGCTCAGAAGACACGACTGATGGCCATGATTCGCAGAACTGCGCACTGCGAAACGACGACTAGGCGCTGCAGAAGCGCAGCCGAGAGCGCTCCGAGTGAAAAGCCTGCGGGGTTGTCAGGTAATGCGTGTGCGCGAGTTGCTTTAGCAGTAACAAAGGGAACCAAACTTCGAAGTGGGTAACACATGTAACTAGTGGGGTATGGTAGTGACTCACACCAATATGCTGTTGTGAATCGCGTCGATTCACACTCGTTAATCCGGTCGCCTCGTTTCCCGACACCTTGCCCCCTTTTCAAAATGTGCCGCAAGCTGAGCGGAAGCGCAACTGATACCACATTGGTGCGAACGAGCATCCGAGATTATCACCGTGTTCGACAACATTCACCGAAGTCTCCATGTTAGCACATCTATCACTCACGCTGCTTCACACGTCCAAGCCACAGACGACATGACTTGACACGACACAGTCCACGGACGACTTGGTCGAGCTCTGGGATGAACGGCTGTCTGTCTGTTCCTCTGCTGTCTCAATCCTTATTGGGTACTTAGTATCATAGCGTGCAGCAATAATGCCACTAACAGTCCTGGTTACCTAATTTCACAAAGCCGTGCCAGATATCACACAGAGGAATTAACCCGTCGACATTAATTGACGTTCAGAGTTGGTAGAAGGCTCCGTTGATTGGCCAATTTAGTCCGCAGAATTGGTAAATCAAAATAGCGTGAAAGCGTGGGGTAGCACAATTCGCTTACAACAGCAGAAGCCGATGGTCTGGACGTGGAGGTCACAGTCTTCGCCCGGGCTCTGGGGGGAGGGGTGGGGGGACGAGGGGCGCCGTCTTGAGCGCCACCACCCACCGGCACGGGGTTGGCTCGAATCGCGATCGGATGTCGAACCTACGCGAGATGATTACAGGTTAAAAAAACACTTTAAATCACAAAAAGCTGTTGTAGGGGGACTGCGGTTGCAAGCACCGCATTTTAACTAAGGGTAATCCAGGAATAGCGATTTTGATCGCATCTACATTTCATGGCACAATTAGAGAATGTAGTTTAACAGTCAAATAATTAAAATGAATATAGTCGGCCAATAACAACAGAGAAAAGATTAGCAAAATTAAACACTAGGTCAAAGAGAGAGCGAGATGACTCACTGATTCCTGCATGATAGACAATCAAGGCACGCTATCACGCATTTAACAACAAAGGCGTGGGGTAATTTTAATATTAATAGAGACAATCACCTGAGCATTGGGTGCGAGTCGACCGTCGAAGGAGGTCATGCCTTCGGCGAGGGAGACTGCATCGCTTTGGCTCGAGGCGGACCATCGTCTGTGTGGGGGCTGCGCGAGACGCACGGACTCCTGGCAGGCCGAGTCCAGGGAGCGGTGCTCGCCGAGGTGAGCGCGGCGCTCGACTGCCGACGTGGCCGCGACATCCGGCGGGTCCGGCGGCGAGATCCTGGGCAAGTAATTGCAACCAATAGGAGTGCGTGAGCGTCAGAGAAAATCGAAGATGTTACATTTCAGCACCTTAGGTTTGGCTACCCATGAAGTAGCTGATGTGTGGGAGCCCGATTTTCGCTGGTCCCAGTTAAAACCCAAGTACTTTCAGTTTCACCTCGCTTAGCTATTTCACAATCAACTACCTATGAAATGGTGAAGTGTCGGATATAGAGCGCACACTTGCATACATGACATCTAATTAGATGTAAGACATCCAGAGAGAGAAAGGCGATTTGCGGATCGGATGGTGAGCTCTCCGATGATTCACCACTGCACACTCTGCAAATGATAATCGACGATAATTATTTACAACCCTCTTGGGGGGCAGGCGAGTTCTTGCAGTAACAGGAATTGGTGTGGCAGCAAACACAGCGCTTGGCAAGTGTGCGGAAGGGATGACCTTGAGACAAACCAATCAAGAGACACGTAGTGAAGAACCTGCAACAGTTCCCTGCATGGCACTACAACACCCGAGACGACTTGTAGAGGTCGAAATTTGACAGGGACGAGGTTAAGCAACCGCAAGGATCAAGTCGTGCACCCCCTCCAAGTTGCAGAAAACGCACCATGACAGAGACACTCAAATTAGCACAGAAATTAACCCAGTCCGATAGTTGCTTTGACCATGAGCATACCTTAGTTACAGAAGTAGAAATTCGCATTACTGAAGGAAGATAACAAAGAGAAGGGGCCGCATAACCATGCCGAGCAATTAGCCAGTAAAGGAGGAAGTTCTGCTTGGTAGACATTTGAATGAAACTAACACTCCCATTATGCTTGCATTGTTAGTAGTCAGAACAATGGCGTTGGCATAGAAAAAAGAACACACTGCGCCCATTATATCACGCGAGGACGCCTTAAACGGCACTTTTAAACGCGATGGGCGACTCACGCGGAGGAGGGGTCCACGGGCGGTGGGGGTGGGGGGGCCGAGAGGGCGCTTGAGGTGGCCACAGCGCGCAGACTGTCGGGCAATCTGGACGGCAGCATTACTCCATTCCGATGAAGCACCACCAGATGCATAGCTACGGAGAATTCACTCAGAGTCAGCTGTCCATCAGAGTCCACGTCGGACAACTCCCTGAAACCATGCAATGCGTCAAACTCAATTTCTGCGCATAATTAACATGGAAGAGTAAGGGAGGAATTTTAAAGCAGAAGGCATGTGAGAGCTCGTTCGGTTATGTTAACGCGAACAAATGTCAGTGGAAGGGGCTAGTACTTGCACTCACCAGTTATAACCTGACATATCTTCAGTGGAGAGGAATAGATCTTTAAGAAACAAATGGTACAAAGCGTTTTCACAAACGTTATGGAGATCACTCAATACCAGATCAAAAACTATTGAAAGATTTCCATCAGAGGAGCAGAAGCCTCTCAAAAAGTATGCATAACTTGCAATTGGTTATAATAACGCGGCATCATGTCTAGAAAGTCTACACGGACACGAATTGTTTATCTAAGGATGGTCCGACCAGCAGTCAGATATCCGACAGGAAGGTAAAAACCGCAAACTGGGGTAAATTGAATGAAAATATAAAATACCACACTGCATCAGCAACTTAAACTCGAAAGAAAAACAAAGAACGTCTCGGAGTGCTTTCTGTGTGAAAGAATCAATGTAAACAGCCACAGCATTGCATCTCAGCGCCAGAGGCAAGCGACTAAACTGTGCAAAGAGACCCGAGAAAAGGCATTGAAGTGCTGCTAAAAAATTCAGCCGTCAGAAAACAGAACATCAGGGTGTTGGCTGATAGCGGTGTAGCAATATTTGCCCGCCTTAAATATCACTGAATAGGAGGACAAGGCTGGGCATTAGTTACACTTGTAGGCCACTACTGGGATCTGGAAAGAAGACGACGAGTGGAGCACATCCAGAAAGAGGATGGTCAGGCAGACTGAACACCCCACACAGACGGAGGGGATACCACACGTATTTTGACGAGGCGTTAAACAAAGCTAAACTAGAAAGCTTGCCAACAGAAACAACACAGATTATACTAGGAGAGCAACACAACAGTTGACGCAACCAATGAACACACAGCAGTACTAAGCGGGAAGAATTAAACGCTTAGCTTGCACACCACGTCGCTTGGTTCCTAAAACTTGCGCGATTTCCAAGCACTTAATCTTGGCAAATAAATACCATGGATGAACTACAATTGAACCTTCAAACAGGCCAGCGAAAGTGCTATGCAATAAGAATCCTTCTGCTTTGGTTAAACAAAACCACATAGAGGCAAAACATAATAAAACGTATAAATACCTGGTCGAGATTTTTAAGATGTTGTCCAGGTGTGCTAGGAGTTTCATTAGAGTTATATTAGGGGACGCAGAAGAGACGTTATCACACTCAAGATAACTTACTCCATAACTGACAAGTTTCGCAATGAAGGACGACGAAACTCATTTACAGCTGAATCGCCAAGTCAAAACGGGCCAGATTTGGAAGCATTTCCCATATCTTAAGGCCTTAAGATGCAACGAAAAATTTCACAAATGTCATAGCGTAGCTTCCCTTGTATTGAATATTCCTCAACCAGCGCACAAAGAGATGATCAAGCGTAGAAATGGCACGGACGCCATTGGCCAAACAAAGAGGTCGTTAAGCTACCTGCTACCTTCATTTAATAAGTCAGGTTGGATAATCTTTCAAAAGTCAAAATTTGCCTTTACTAAACGCATATGCTGCAGTGATTGTGCGTACATCTTAATGATCATTTATTAAGATCCGATTACTTCGATAGGGGGCAGTGTGTCGGTTGGAGAATGATCGACGCAGTTAGCCTTGTGAATATTTTTCGTTTACATACACAAGAACCACAATTTATAAATTACGTATTTGTGACTCGCGCCATTCGACCCACGCACGCCGGTCTGGCCTGTTCTTTGTCCTCCTCTCCCTTCCGCACTCTCGCCTTCCTCAAGGCACCCCCGTGAGTCCGAGGGCAACGCCAACCCTCCTCGCGGCCATCCCTTCCCCCACTCTAACTCTCCCAAAGCTCTTGCCCTCTGAGTTTGTATGCGGTAGTATGGAATACATCCGGTTCTTCCAGCTATTCTTCTATCGTGTGCATGGTAGCTAACCATGATGGTGTGGCTATCTAAGAGGGACGGGCTAACAGTCATCTCCCTATTTAGGTCCCCGCTCGGTAGGCGCGTTACATATTTCATGAATGATCACTGGTCACATTCGATGTGGTTTTAGTTCTGACCTTAGATTGAAACGCAGCACAGATTAGTCTGAGTGATTTACAAAACGAAAGTGTCTTAGATAAATGGGCCTAAAAACAACATGGAGCACCGAGAGTGCCCTTCACAGATTTAGTGACAAGAAAGGGTTGTGAGAAGCCCCTAAAAGTCAGAGAATGGTCAGTGTTTGCTTCTGCCAAATACTTCGTTGTTTCAATCAAAAAAAAAACAAACAGACCACTAACGAAATGGTGTGATGCTGTTCACGAGATCATCACCAGACCTGACCAAGAGGCTGCCCCGATGCACTGATTTTGCGGTGACCAGCACCACGGCTGCGGAGCTACAGTGCTTACACGCACACACAAACACAGGCATTACCGCCAATGAAATAATTCACACCACATAAGGGCAAGCTGGCATTCACTACGCGACTTGGATGGTCGAAAATGTGCAGTAGGCGTGCATTTATGGACACAAATCATCGTAGAAAATCATCGCAATAAAGTACAGCATAACCGGGGCAGCAGAAGCCCACAAACCGAAGACAGAGATTGGCAAAATTTAGCATCGGAAAGAGTGCCTTTGGCCCACGTATTGACTCATAATTTTCTATTAAAATGGAATACTGCCTTCCTGGATAAAATAATTACAAAAGAAGGCAACCGGTGCTTGACAAAACTTCCCAAAATTGGACTTCTATCAAGGAAGGTGGTGGAAACGGTGTCACGGGCGCTTGCGTAGGACTGTGCGGAAGTAAAACGCAGGACACGTCTTTTTCGCTACTCTAGCCTGGAACCGTTGGTCCATCAAAGACGTTTACATTTTGAAGAAAATAAAGGAGCCACCTCGGTTAACGTCCAGGAAGCAGAGATGTCTGAGAGCGAAGGACCTTCGCGTTGTCAGGGCGAGAGATTGCAGAGGCGTTACTAGACCAGGTGAAGTTTACTTGTTTGAATATGGTGCTCCTAAACGTGCCCCCATAAATGCCCGCACACCCAGCGAGTGCACACAGTACGCGAGTGCACTTTGCATGCCAACGAACGAATCTGACGGCGACCGGCCGTTACACAGGAATTAGCAGGTGTGATGCCATTTGGCTAACAAAGGTATTCCTACATGCCAAACTAACAATTTTAAGTCGTTTTGAGTGGCTGATAGCACAGTTTGAAGCGTTATCCTCGTAAAACATTAGCCTATTCACGAAGATTTAACAGAGCCCACAATTTAGATGTAAAAATTAAAGGAAAGTAGCCTGACATGGGTAAGAATGTGTTTTTCTCGATTTTGTTCGAACCCATTCATTACCACGACCGCGCACATCGCATGTGCAGATGCGACGCAGAATGTTTCTGCACATCGTCCTAAACGCGCTTTGTAGGACCATGTTAACGTTACAGGTCGGTTTTTTGGCCTCCGTCATTTGATTAAACAATACGCAGACAGACTGGTTAAAGTAGTCAAGGAAATTCCATTGCGAAGGTTCAATGGTTTAAAACGTGCACACAACGTAGAAGACTCAAAAGCTACATTTCTAAGTTTGATTACCTTTAAGAATTAAGTTAAAAATGCTAATGTTAAGTTTACTTGCTTCGCCTAAATTCCCATTCCCAAAAAAACAGCCTTAATTGTAAAAATTGCAAGCACTGTCTACTTTGAGTGCTTAAGTAGAGAGGGAATAAAAAAGGCAACTAACCAAATGAGAGATAGTTCGCTGACCGGAAGTTTAGAGAGTTCGAAGAAAGACTTCGCTGTTTGACCACTTAAGAAGCCACTAGGATCGGGTTGAAGCCGCAAAAATTGTGCCAGATAGTAGGCTCTCTGATCACTGGTCATTGCCCACGGATCAGACTGTTCCATCTGCTAAAATGATCAAATTACAATGGAAGAGAAACACAACACGGAATGTAATACGTCTTTGGAGGCAAACCCGTAATTTTGTTGCGGTTTAAGCAATCACAGGTCAGATAAAGCCCTAATCACGTTGCTCACTACTGCGTCTGCCCGGTTTTGAAATCATTATTCCCTCACAAAATTATACGAGCGAACTTTCCGATCACACAATACTGCAACTGGTTGTATTTCAAATGTCAACTACTGAAAGCTGCAAGCACAACCAGGACATTGAAATGACGAAAACCAAAAAACGAAAAACCAATGACTCACAGCTGGATAACAACGAATTGACTCAGAAGGTAATTTTAACCGACGTAATTCAGTGTAAATTACGACTATTATAGGTGTCACAAATTCGCTACGTGGCCTGATTATAAAATTTAATACCACAAAACCGCCTGCTGAAATACACATCCAGCAGATGTCAGCATATGATTCCAAACATTAGTTGTGACATTGTTGAGTAACCCTGTTCCGCCATGTTACGAGAATTCCAAAAACCAGGGCATAAGTAATCATACTCGCTTTTCATATACTAGACTAAAGCATTCTCCCTGCCTTGTTCACAAGAGAATAAGGCGAGGATTTTTTTACATTACATACTGCAAGACGACGGTAGGTTTTTGCAAATAACCAACTCTTTCAAGTTAATTAAACATTACATCCTTCTAGTTGCATGGCACCTATGTAAGCTCTAAAACATGCACAAGCCTCCCAACTGAAAGGTATAACAGAGTTATATGGCTGATTAACAAGTCTGGGCTGCCAGGACTAACTAAGAATGATCTGGGGATTTTTTAAATTTAAAATCAGATTTATTGGTGCGCTTAAGTTGCAATCGTCGACTAGAAAAATAGGTAACCAACTTTGATGGAACGAGTAATTTGTTCAAGAAAAAGCAGCTTGTGGTACTTGAGCCCGATCCGATTCCACCAACAACAACATAATGCTCGAATCGATGTAGAACTCTAACACGGTTTGTATGCGGCCATCCCGCTTTCAAGTGATAATTAAACGATAGAGTCATAAACATAGTAATATTTGGTTTGACAATCATCGCCCGTTTATAAAAGGCAAAGTAAAGTTAGGGATAATGTCAACTAAATAAAACAGCTCAAAAATAATTAGAGGCCCATGATCACAATAATGCCAAGTAGCAAATATAGGATAGGTTTTGACGAGTGGAAGTTACGATAAAAATGTAAAATACCCTTGCAAACATAACAGCAATAAGCAATCGAGGATAACGATTTTCCCTTGCCATCATGCAGCATAACAAATTTCGCTCCTGTTAGTAACATTAAAATCACTCATTAATTTGAAATTTTGGCCAAATTCTACAGATGATATATCTAAAAAAATTAATGGTTTTGACCAATTCTATCGCCCTAGAAGGACACTTGCAAACAATGATTGTATGCTAAACTCGGGGAAGTCAAAAGTACCCATGAATGCAAACTAACAAAAAAGCCTCAACTATCTGATAATAACCTACCTACAGACATCGTCATTGACAAATTTGGAATACTAACACAATGCAGACCGCAGCAAAAATTAGACTTTTAAAGTGACCCACACATTTTACACCCAGAAGTTCAGATTTATTATGAGCAATTAACGACGCGCCGAAAACAAGAAACAGTTGATTTTGAAAAAAAGGAAATGAGCACAGCTAAAAGAACCTAATTAGCCTAAACCCACAAAATTCAAAAAATCAATTCACAATTCCACAAAGAAATAGCTAAACCATAAACGTAAAATGCGCAGAAGGCACTTGAGGCATCATACTATCTAATGCGCAACTAGCCCAAATTAAACACTGGGGTTATTAAAGGATACAAAGCCGATTTTCGACAAATCGCCCATTAGTTCTGTTGGCGCAAGGTCACATAATTCTGTTATGCAAAAATAGTAAGAAGAAGGCTTTTGCTACTCAACGTCTAAAGTTTGTCCCTAAACCGATGTGCATATATTCAATTGCATGGTAAGGCAATTTATTTGTCTTCTGTACCATTAACAAAATTAAAAAAATTGTGAAATCCAATTTATGGAAGAATACTTAAGGCAACACGTGTATCTGAGTTCACGTATAGGCTCATAGTAGGCTTTGGACAGATACGCAACTTCCATACAGCAATGACTCCACAGAAGCATTTATTTAAGAAAGTTGAGAATTATAATACAACAATTGAATTTAGTGTTAAAAAAGAACGTGCTTCCGGAAACATATATAACTGTTTGTAATTCCAAAAGCCAACATTAATGAAACCTACTTAAAATATCCAGAAACCACTTTTTTGCTATATTTGCCATGTTCATTAATAAGTGCCTCTTTCACAAATACTTAAGTTGGTAATTATTCTACAAATCATATCACGCAGCATCTTTGCTCTAAATAATTGCCAAAATGAAACGCCAAGTTAAATTGCTATACAAACTCATTAATGAAAGTAGCAGTTGACGGGATTAAACCTCGTTTAATAAATCCATTCAAACTCCATTGATGTCACTAAATCGGGGTGATATTATGTCATTATAATCACAAAGGTTTTCTCTGGTGAATATTCAAATTTGAGAAAGAACTACATTAAGTTGGTTCATAAAAATCCGTGACCTTAATGCTGTAAAATCTGAAACAATATTTAAAATGAATTTACATAGATATGTATTGTATAGCATGCAAAAAATTCAAGACTTTTGTGCAATTGTTTAAATAGAAGAAAAAAGTGATTGTAGACTCTTGATTTGCATTCGTTAAATTTTTCCTTTGTTTAACACGTCACAGCCGCAGTTGGTGTAACGTTGCGCATTTTAAATATCTGTAAATGTTGCAATATGCAGTTGCTAAATTGTTGCGATTGCTATTCTTGTAAAAAGCAACCGTTTAAACTGTATTAAATTACCAGTCATAAAACTGGTATTACTAATAACATCGTACTGCACTTGAATAGATAACTTAAACATTTCCTAAGAGTGCTAGTTTCTTCTGAATTCTTTTACACTCCATGTTCAGTAAAATCAAATAATGAATTACAGCCGTCAAAAGCTTCTGATGCATTTTCTTTTTCTGAATTGATTAATTATTTCCCTTAGACATATTCAATTAAATAGTCACATTTTAAACAGTTCTGAGGTTGCACTTGATAAACATTAGGTCCATTTGCATACGTCTCGATACTATCAACAGTATTTTTGTACATAATATCAGTTTGTGATTCATCGTCTTTGTTTTTTTGCCTTAAAACTCAATCCGGAAGTCTCTTGTTTCATGAGCTACAACGTCCAATAAACATTTATTTTACCGAAATTAATGCCATAAATAAAGCATTTGGATCCATAGACTTTTCTTAACTTTGCTGTTTGCAGAACACAATATCTAGTTTCCTAGAATGACTAGAATGTCTCGCACTATGCGTTTCGAACTATTTGCATACGCAAGTTTAATTTTTATTGATTCTGAAGTCAATGAAAAGTAAAAATGTGTGTTTATTCCGCGGTCAAAATCACACTTTTTTTTCATATTTTAATTCATGCAGTTTACTTAGAATTATTTCAAAACCAGCACTTCTTGAAAAAACATTTCAACTGAATTTTCGACTACGACCAGGATAAAGATCAATAAGTATTGAATTAACTGCCATAATTAAGTCTGACTTTGAGTCTGAGCTGAGTTATAATTTGTTTGTCATCTTAAATGTCTGCTAAATAAAATTGATGGCCATCACCTACACAAACAGAGTTCGCAATCTAATTAAGTTTTTTACTCGATAAATTCTTATGTTTATATTTCTCTCGATTCGGGTCTGATTCGTAAAATCTTTGTGTACCTCAACAAAAACTTTTATTAAAAAACAAAGTTAAATTGGAATAAAACAGTCTAACTGTATGAAAATGGTTATTCTGGCTTTAGTTTACTTTAGAACAACTTTAAAAAATCTTTACAATATAAATTACCTATTTAGATACTGAAGATGAAAGTTAAGGAAAAGAAAACTAAAAAACAAACTAAGAAGCTAGTCGATGTGGTTCCCGTTGTTGAAATGACGAGAGAGGAGCTCGAAGCTCATCTTGGTCGTGTTCGTGAGGAGCTGGAACGTGAACGAGAGGACAGAAATTACTGTCAACTAGAACGAGATAAGGTTATGACATTTTGGGAGATATCGAAACATCAGCTAATGGAAAAAACAGCTGAACTAAGAGCAAAGCAACAGGAACTTGAAGAGTTAGCTGAACGACGCGAAAGGGAATTGGCGGCTTATCGCCAAAAGGCAAAGTACCTGGAAGCAGCTCATGCTTCGGAAATAGCTGAACTGAAGGCAGAAATGGTAAAGGCAGTCAATTTAGCTGCCGAAGAAGCTTCAGCAAACGCCCAAAGCTCTCGGTTAGTAGATGAAGCACTGAGAAATGAACAGTGTGCTCATGAAAATCTTATCAGGAAGATACAAATGGATAATGAAAAAGGAGTGAGCACTTGTAAATTGTTATAATTTATAACAAAGGCGAAGGCATTATGTATGAAGTATAGCTCTAAATTTGTTAATGAGAAAAGTTGCTCAGTGTTTAGAGGACAGAAAGAAAAACTGCAATTAAACACTTTCCGGGAATTCCATGTTGTGCTTTTGACCTCCACCGAACCACCTCTTTCGTAAAGTGCTTATTTTAGTTAATGACATCGTGTCTGAAGATGGTAAATTGCTTGGTACTTAAGGCTTTACAAATGTACGATTTATTTACTAGAGAAGTCAGCCAGGAAAAAAATTATAAACAAAGCATAGACAAATTGACCTACTTAAAATTGCGGAACGCAGTATTGTGACAGGCCTCAACATGGGTCAGAGCATTTGAATTTGCTGTCTGGTAATTATGACTAACTTTTTTAGCCTCCGTAAGTGGTTGTGAACACTCAAGGGTGACTGATTCAAGTCGGTTGCCTATCCATCAGTACTTTGTGATGACGATCAAATCCACACCTGTTTGTCCCTTGTTGTCAGGGTAGATCAAACCCGTTAATTTGTTTTCCTATTTTCATGTTTTCAGATGCACGAATTGCGACGAGATTTTGAAAGACAGTCAGACGAGGAACGCCGAGTTCACGAAGAAAAGATGCAACAATTGTATGAAAGAATGGATCTGCAGCGACGGACCGAGTTGCAAACTACAGAAGAGAGGAAAAATAAGCAAATCTCTGTACTCATTCAAAACCATGAAAAGGCTTTCATGGAAATTAAAAATTATTACCACGATGTCACTGTGAATAATGTCAACCTAATTAATGATCTAAAGGTTTGTCAAAATGTAGCTTTTTGGTTAAAATAGCTTTAAGCAATTTAGAATAAAATTTCTTTGATGTTTAGAAGGCGATTGAGGAATTGCAAAAAAAGGAGTCCCATATTAACAAAGAAAACGTTGAATTAATTGCGAAGAATAAAAACCTTGACGCAGACCTCTCAAAATCCCAACGAGAGTGCACTGAATTAAGACGGAAGATGGAAAACTACTCAAGAGATGTAAAGGCGCTTAAGGTAAAGGGCCAAAATCCTTATTTACTAGGTTAACAATCCAACTTAAAATACTAGGTATAAATTAATCAAGTATTTATTCTCGTCAGCTTCGCAAATTTTATTCACTGTTTCCCTAGTTTGTGGATAAAATTTCGACAGGGTTCGCTAGTGTGCTCTCTTAGTCATTTTTAAACCAAATCTTGAAACCTTTAAATGTCATGCCGTGCAGCTGACTCCAAAGCGAGCCGAACAGATAGCACTGTGATGGGGCGAGATCCTGATTTTGTAATGGATATATCAAAATTTCCTAGCTGATTTCTGGGTTGACCTACATATGTTGTCTTTTTGTGCAGTAGCAGTGCTGACTGCTTTTGTTAGACATCCAAATTCGAGCTACGTAGTTGACCAGCCTAAAGATGCTGTTTGAAAGTTTGATTCCGCGCGAGTAGATGAGGACTTCACTGTCCCATCATACCCAAATACCCTTCTTGCAAGAATGAGGGTTCCGTCTTATTGAAGGCTCTACCCACGCATCCCTACCCACCATCTCACTATTTAGCTCAGAATCTAAGTAATGACACCACCCGCGTAGAAAGTGATAATAGGACACAAGCATTCAGTTTGTGCAGCACAAGCCAAGCCGCAGCAACTTTGGCGTGCGGGCAATTTTTGCGGCATCTGATCCCAGCGGGTCCATTACCTCCGGACGACAATAAAGGGCCTTCAGATTCGATCTACTACTGCGCTGTTCCACGTCCGCTTTTATAGAAAGGCGCTTTCTGACGGTCTCTGTTGAGGTCAGTCGAACGGTTGGAACGTATGGCGTCGTCGAAGTAGATAGTGCAGCTTGTAAAGTTAATGAACCCGTTTCTGTGTTTCTCCGACGGCCGCACGAATTTCCCACGAAATTTGTGAACTTGGCATGTCATTATTTGAGCTATAAGTAGAAGGCAGCGGAATTTTCAAAGAGACCAATGACAAAGTTACTTCAGAGTAAAGTATTTGCTTTCTAATCACGTACAATATTTTGCTGAATGCCTTTACGTTTAGAAAAAAGCTATCGATAACTTCTCCAGAAGAAATTTCACTACTCGATTTTTAGGTCCTTAAATAAAAAAAGACAAATACATGCAGCATTTAATGTTTTTTTCTTTGTAGAACGCGAAAACAGAAGTGAAGCAGTTGAGAAAAAACCTCTCAGACGCCAAGCTCGACAATGAAGTGCTACTTCAACGGCTGCAGCATGTAAGTCTGAAGGACGCAACGCAAATATTTCAGTCTGTCTTCAAAGGCAGCCCGAAGGTTGTCGTTGTTTGTAGCATCACGTGATTTGTCTATTTCACTCCGTCGCCCCTCGTTCGAGTAGCACGCTGCTAGTGCTTGACCAAACGACGTGGAAGTTCACTTGCGATGGAGAAACGTCCACCTAACTTAGCATCTCGTACATTTAATCAAATCTCAAAGTCGCCTTTCTTTGGCGAATTGAGCGTTAAATTTACGCATTAAAATGTCACACTGCTCAACCTACCACGCAACGCTGCCATATTTGCAGATGTGATTTTCGTCTTGCCACTCTCAACTCTAATCTTTTCGATGATCTCGATTATAGCATGAACTGGATAAAAGCAAGGAAAGGCTCTGTTTGACAGATAATCAGTTTGTTATTGGTCGAAAATTCCTAACAGGATGTAAGCGGTGTCCGCCGCTGACGTACGCTTGCGTATTAATTACTTCAAATAATGCATGTGTTTAAGATAATCGCTTCTTATTTAATTATTTATCCACTTGCTGAACCTGAAGAATCAAATGAACTACTAACGCCTTTAATCAGTAAGCTTAAGCAGTTTTATGATTGGCCTTCAAACGTCGTAACTAACCTTTTTCCGCACTTCCAAAATGGTTTTAAAGAATGGACTTTTAATAATTAATATTGGAAAGGATGCGGAATTAACGATAATTTAAGAAGTGAGAAATGTAGCGCCTTTGTAGTCCTTCCTTTACTACTGTCATATTGTTGAATTTAAGAGCTGCTAAACGACTAGTTGGCTGTCAAGATGCTGCCAGAGCCCCGCCACTCCGAACCAATTTGTTGTCTTTAGGCTGAGAACGAACGCGACGAGCTCTACGAGAGATTTGTGGTTGCCGTCCAGGAGGTCAAACAAAAGTGCGGTCTTAAGAACGCCATTCTGGAGCACCGGATCACTAGGCTCGGCGAAAAGCTGGACGTGCAAGGACAGTTCACTCCCCGCTTGGGCGAGGACGGCGCCCCGACTGATGAAGCGAAGAGGACTTTTGAAGTAAGGCTGATTGCTGCTTTGAAAGCCGGGTTCACACGATTAGTTTGCAAGGCACACAAATTATTTGGGCCTAAGATCTATACAATCAGTCACCGCAGATGCTGATTGGTGGAATATCGTCAAGGTAGCCTTACGATTGGATCATCGACTAGGCCACTTCTCCTAAACCGTTTTATTCAAATACCTTGTATAACTGTGTCAGATAATATGCATTATATTTAGGAAAATCTGGCTTCCAAAAACGCGCAGATCAAGGACCTCAATTATGAACTTGCTAGAGTTTGCAAAGTAAGTTAGTCCTATAAATGTTCAATGTTTAATTAATTTGGATTGGCATAAGAGCCTGTTTGACGGGAGACTACGACAACTGAGCACACAGAGTGATGTGTATTTGGCAATAACACAGTGGTCGAACAATTATTTTTTTCATTTGTTCAACCTATTTTCTAATGCCACAGAATTTGAGCAAATTAATGGAAGACGATAATGCAACCTTTCACGTTGTATACTTCAACATCCTGGAACTCCGGATGGGAAAAAATTTCCACCTTTTATAAGAGGAGCCCGTCCCACCTTAGTCTCTGATTGAACGCCTGGAGTGTGATTTTACTGGCACGATTGAGTCGACGGAACATCATCGCCAGTTTCCCCAGTTAGCATTCGTGGATGAGACTTCAATTAACCCATCTTATTTGCTCATTTAGGCCTACAACGATCTCGTCTCAGTGTTTAAAGGTCAGTTGGAGAGCTTTGGCATCCGAATGGAGAACGTGGGATTCCAGGTGGCTAAGGATATCCTGATAAACGGTGGAAAAGCGTCGCTTGGCAAGGGCCCAGCGAGCCTCATCACGGTTCCACCAACATAAGTGTTTTTTAGCTTTTGACTTAAGTTGACGTCATCATGCCATGCATTTCAATATTGTGTTGCCTTAGATCGCAGACATGTTCAACATAATTGCAGCGATAATTTAACTTTATGACATCCAAACATGTGTTGATTCAGTGAATGGGTATGTAATCGAATTGACTGGATTCGCAGTTTTATTTCATTTGTGAGAATGGGCCAAGAGTAGAGCAAGGAGCCCAAACGAGTCTTGAGTCGATCAGCAAAATCCCACAAAAAATTACTAAAACAATTAGACAAATCTCAAAGAATATATATATTGCAATTGATACGTGGGTAAACCAGCATTTCTCTACTTGGCGTGGAATGCTGACTTGTCGCCCCACAGCCAAATCTCAATGTCATTCAAAGTCGTAAGGAGTCATTCTTACAGAAAGCTACCAATACTGCGGTGAGCTTAGATTGTTTTAAAGTGCCTTGGGATAAATTCGCAAGACTCTGATTACCAATCGCGTAATCCTATTGGTTTTTACATAATTTATTTCCCCTTGGCGTAATCAGTTCCATTACTATTAGCTGAATGAATAAAAGGACCATCACATAGAATTTTGAAAAGTGAGCCCCCTTGCATGTACAAGTTAATGTGTTCTGGGGATAACGCAAGGTTGAGTACAGCTTGATATTGTCATTTACCAATGAAATAAATGCTTGTGGCTGTGTTCTGCCCTTATTTTGTAATTGGAAGGCTCGATCTCTGATACAGCGTTGAAACGACACTTCCTGGCCACCCGAACCTTTTAAAATCTTCATCGTGAGGCTCGCCAACAGAAACTCAAGTAACCAAGAGAAAAAAATAGCTTTTAGACGAGATTTAAAAATGGAACAACTATCGGCAAATTGATTCGATCAGGGGAGGGTGCGATTCGTAATTCTAATCTGAAGCTTGGGACGACTAGATACAGAAACTATTCTTAATGTGCTTCGACACTTAGAGACTTTAAGCACTTCTGGAGGATGAGTAAAACAGAAGACGGCGAAGGCGCATTTGTTTAATGGGAACAGTGATGTATGAGGCTGTGTAGGAAAAGCACTGTTTACAAAGCTCGTACAAATACGGTAGATAATGCATGACGTGTTAAGGTATAATCCTGAAATCGTTCTTTGAAGCAATTCATTTTTGGCCTTTCTGCATCATCTGCAAAAGCAGCGATTGTCAAGAGAGAGTGAAAGGGGACAGGTCAACAGTCTAGAGAAGTTGGATGAGACATCATCGAGATGTTCCGGGATCGTTTTATGTGACGACACGATCATCTAGAGCACGAGGCTGCAAGACTTCTGACAGAAGGGTTTAAACCCACGTGGTACCAACGCAATATTACATCGAGATTGACAATTGGTTTTAAACTAGGTCCGATTCCTGCGATCCCCTGCTTAATACGCATTAACCCACTTTCAACACAGGCACTAATCAACTGACATGGAACGCAGAGACCCTGATACACGCTTAACGAGAGGTGCGAAAGGAAGCATTAGTGCCAGAGTCGGCCACATAAATGAAAGAAAACTTGGGCCCGGACGCGCACCGCAACTATTTTGTTTTCGGCAACGGAATGAATACAATTTTCGAGTCACAAAATGTAAGGGGGAGGCATTAAACGCACGCCTGCAAATCACTGAAACATAGGCTGGCAACCTTATAAGAAGACCGAGTGTAACCGGAAATGCAAACGTAGAAAAACGAGGATGCCCTGAATTAATAAATACAAACATTCTCCAAAGCGTTTTATGAAATCTTCGTGTCCAGAAATATTCTATGTTTTTACTTTCTGGCAACGGGCAATAAACCGGGGGCAGTGTGGAGCTCAAATATACAATGTGGAGATAATTACACACAAGCACACACTAAATTCGATAAAGATTAGCAAAGAAAACAGAGAACCAAGTAGTTATCGGCCGGCATTTTGCATTCGCTTCATCCGACGCTCTTGCTTTTTCTGCTTTTTCTCGCTTACCTGTGGAGACTGGTTGGGATCAAAAATCCATGGAGCAAGAATGTGCACCCAGAAAAGGTAGAAAATGCGACCGGGTATCTAAAAAGACAATGCAGTTGCCACGAAGTGCAATTATGGTTTAAAGCAATGCTGGATTTCATGATAAGAAAACTATCTTTGGGATTTCACAAATCACACAACTCAAGGTTATTTTCGACGTCAAAAACGAGAAAATTGGGAAAAAAATTGTCAGCTCACATGTCATGGAAATGTGGACAAATGCTAATAAAGGACACGTAGAGGACTAACGTCACAGCTGACAAGAGGCCTTAAATATGTAGAGTGACTCAGGACAAAAAGCGAGTACAGTTGTCAACAGCGGATAACGGTCGGTACAAAATTAAAAAAATGTAAGAAACTTACAAAAAGTAATAGGAGCCAAAATCCATTGTGAATGAGACTCAAGCTTTGAACAAGACAACAGGCCAAAATGAGATCTTTTGCGTGTCTAAAAAAATGACATTACACAGGGATATGTTTAACAACGTTAAGAATCGTAACACAAAGGCATCACGACAACTTAGAGTTCTCAGTACACTCTTATTACAATACCAACTAAAAACACTGTAAATGAATTAAACCATAAAGCACAAATGACTTACTCAGCGAGTCCTCCAGGTCCTAAGTTCAGATCCAGGCCGGCATCAATTAATTGGGTATTTCCACGGTCATCTTTTTCGTAACGCGGTGTAGACATAGAAGACATGAACTTGTAGGCAAAAACGTTCGCGATAAAGCAAATCGAGGTAAGCAGAATGTAGCGTGTAGTAAAACGATCCCAAAAAAGACCATATGTGATTAGGAAATATGTGATCTGAAACACCAAATGCGAGTTACCATTATTTTGAATTCCAAAAAAGAATGGCAGAAGTAAACGCTCATGGAGGCATTGGGGTTCAAGAGTAATCAACGTTGACAGCGCAAAGAGGTGATTTAAAAGAATTAAAAAATGGCGACGAATTTATCGACAATGCACACATCAATACAGAAGCTAGGGGTTGATTCCGTCGCTCGAAATAAAAATATGCGTTATCTAAGGGCGGGATTAGCATTACCAGAAGCTCAGAATTGCATCATCAGAGAGCCGAGCAATGATGACCGCACTTAAGCACAAAGCATAGCCCTCATTTTTAAGTTTAAAATCAAAACGCAATACTATGTCAAACAGATGGAAACAACAATAAACAGCACAGCGAATGGCATACTTAATTTTTTTAACCCCAAGACCGAGACTACAGATGACACCTCCATTTACATGAATCGGCACAAACAAAACTTACAGTGGAACCAGCAATAATGTTTCTGTAAAAATTAAGAGTAGATATATTAGCTTCATGAATCTTCTTCTGGCTCTTGGAGCCTTCTTTTCCTGTCTTTTTCTGATACATTTCGCGATAATACTATCCAAAGTCTGTTGACGTGTCAAAAGTCTATTTGAAGTGATGACACGGCAACCAATTAGCCAATCGTTACTCTCCAATTTAGTCCAGCAGAATGATCTTCATTATTTTGCAAAATTTGCTTAAATCAAACCTATCCTTGCATTTTTCATGTTAAATAGCGGTTGGATCATTAAATGCAGTACACTTTATATTAAAATCAGTTTCTAAATAAAATAATTCAATTAGTAACCATTAAAAACAAAAAAAAACTTTTTAGGGTGATTTTTCCCCGTCATCGTTCATAAAAACAACCTTGCTAGAATATCCTTATAAAAATAAACGCAATGCTGAACTTAGTCAAACATTTCAAGAAAAATATTTTTATTTTAAGTCATGTTAGCTATCTATGAATCATAGATCCTTAAAACCATATAGTCAATCTTAAAATTAACCTTACTACAGGTGCATGGTTGTCAATCGAAGATCCAATTTCTAATTTTTTATTGAAAATAACATTAATAAAAATAGTTCACAATCCAGCTTATATTTTTTTGTAGGTGTGTGGTACTTATTGACTAAAAAATTAAAATAAACTTATTTTTAACACTATGCGATCATTACCTTTTGCATTTAAGTTTTTGCTAAATTGAAAATGTGTAAATTACTAAGTGATTTTGCTTTACTCATATTTCTAAAACCATGCATTGTCTCGCACTGTATAAATTTACCAATATTGTTGCTGTACTTGGTCTGAATTTTTCGATTTTTACCACCTTTACGACACAGTTGCAATGTATTGTCATTTATATTATTTTTTGGCCTATTAAAACTTGAATTTTGGGCTAAATATAGTTACTTTATTTTCTAAATATCAATGGTGCAGTAAATTGCACGATGTTCCTCGTTTCACACATCGTGTCAGTTATAATATCGATTTTCGCTGAAAAAAAATAATTTTCCGGTACTACGAAAGTAAATGATCAGACTCTATTTTGAACTATATTGGAATAAACCTCAAACCCAAGGAATATTCACTTGTGTTTCGGCTAAGTTGACTTTTTCACCTGTTTACCAGGGGTTTTTATTTTGTATTAATTTATTGTATCCAGAGAATTTTTTTAATTTACGTAACACGATTGACGAACTAAACCCCACCCTCGGGTTGAATTTCCAAGAACTTTCAACTTATTTTCTGTAATTAATAAATTTAACATCTGTTTCACACAGTTTAAGTCTGTGGTTAAAGAATTATTCCTCAATAAAATGACACTAATTATTTCATTGTTAATGGCGTCGGTGAATTAGATTAAATGGGGCATCAATTTTCAACACAAAGTTCTGGTTACTTACTAAATCGCAATTTTAAAACAACTTCTGAACGTTTTTAAATGTCGCAGTAATAAAAGATCATATATCAATTTTTCGGCGTTATTATTAGTAATACTAAATACATAAATCGGCAGTTCGAATACGAATGGCCGTATACAGTCATTCTACATTATGATCTGAGTTGGCTCTAAATTGCTACTTTTGCTGCTTTTGTTACTCAAGTAAGCGCAATCTCGTTGAAGGCCATAGGTGCATTTTGACATAAGAAGCCAGACGAGTGAGGTAGTGAATTGCTATATTTCCAGCTTAGAATTAAGCTCACTTTAAAAGATTAAATATCTGTTTCGTTATCCCGATACTTTATAATCGGTCATGACAGTTTTTATTTGCAGTCTGAATGATACTCACAACAACGTTGCAATCTGGTTTTAGAAATATTAAATAGTAGTGTATTATCTTGTTCAACGGCGTGCTGTTCTATTGCGGTGGCTTGTCCTTTTACAATGTACTACCATCACTGCCTCGGCTGCGAGTTATATGCAGTTGCAAGCACGGACCGATGAGACTGTGTTACCAGGGCAGGGAATCGCATTGGCTGCACCTGCTGTGGGGCCACCGGGCCACTGCATACGCAGAGCCAGGCATTTCTCTCGGTCAATGAAGAGGCTGTTGTTTTTGCAGGCCAACTCACCCTCCTTTTCTGTTCTCAGTCTCAGAAGTTCTTGTAACACATTCTCGGCCAGGTGCATCTGGTCATATAGGGTCTTGATGGCATCTTTCAGTTGCTGGACTTCACAAATAAGGCTAAAAAATATGAATTGGGACTTGGATGGCAAAACAATGACAAAAAGCTAGATAGGCAGCTATAAACTGCGGAATAGGATTAAATAGCCTACTTCAGTTGCCAATTCTATAAACTATTAAAACAAAAGTCGTGTCTTGTGCGATTCTGAAGCCCATTAGGTAATTACTTCGGAAATAAATTCTCCAAAATTGTGCACGATCACAGACCAATTGGCATTGCATATTTCAAATTCTTATATTTGATTCTGACTCTTATTTACTGCTTGTAACTGTTATGCTAGCATTATGTTCGCACACAAGTAACCATTCGAATTTCACAGAACTGCATTCCTGTATTCCCCACTGGATGACAACTATTGATCAAATCTGGCCTTGTCTTCTTCTTAGGTAGGCCATGTTATTTCATATTTTAACAAAGTCGATCAAGAGCTTGCATAATCCATCACAGGCTGAGAGCAAAAGATTATCCCGAAAAAAACTCATGTTGAGCATGCGATAATTCAAATTTAGTTGACGATGCAACATGCTCTGATTAACTGTTCCAATGTGCACCCATAAGAAGCCATCTTTTAGTTAATTCTAAATTTTTCGGTACAGCGTCGATCAGGTGTAAATTGAGGAAGTGTGCTGTTTTTTCTACGAAAAAATGTGAAAAACATGACCGAGGCATACTAATGCAACCCCAAAACAGTTAAGTTTTGCTGTTTATACAAAGATGTTGCGCACCATATTTTATTAACGAAATTTAAAATGCCAGCAGGGCCCTGTTTTCCACGTATTTAACTGGCTTATGATTTGCAACACGAGGAGTTTCAGTGTACAGATGACACCCAGTTGACTGTTTCCTTTCCACAATTCAAGCCACTCAAATCGGAATGCCTGGGATTTTACCTTGAGGAGTTAGTCGGAAAAAGTTGAATTCGTGACGGCCAAAAGCACAGCACTGCTTAACAAATGGAGTGAGGTGCTCCGTTAGCGGTAGGCTCTCTGGTTTATATGCACTTGGGTGATAATTTTTGATCAGTCGCACAAAATTGTACTGATAAGGGGAGAGGCACCGCTAGTGTAAATTTACTAATATTGCATTTAAACTGTCGCTTACTGAACCATTGCGGGGTCGCGACAGTTCTCCATCCCAGGCCGTCTAAGACGAGTGTTCAGTCGGCTGGTCGCCGTTCTAAGGTAATCTTCTTTATCCTTTATGGCCTTCTTTAGGTCCTCGATTTCCTTTTCTGTCTCCGCGATTGCCTGCAGAGTCTGAGATAGTACAAAGGCATACAAAGCACTGTCGTGAGATGGCATGTGTGCAACATAAAGTGTGCTATACTGATATTTTGTGTGGTAAATGAAACTTGCGGTGGTTCACAAAAAAAACGTTCTTTTCGATGACGGTGTAAATTTCTCACTGGAATCTGTAGCAAGGTCATACGTATTCATGGCTGATGCATGCCAAATTAGCTGGCACGCGTAATTCGCTACACTTATAAGCATTCACACAAATCGCGCTACTTATCCTGAAAGTGAACAAGTTGAAATCTTGGACTATGCCATGGAAGGAAAGAGCAAAGTAGCTTCATAGTTAATTAGCTTGTATAACCTGTGAGGTCTCTCAACCTTCGCCGTATATGCCTTAATTATGAGGTTCAACAATGGACAACTTCTGCAAACGTTACTCAAGTCACCCACAGATTTGCAAGAACCAGAATTTTATCTTAGTAGATTCCTTGTAAACTTGACATTTGATAGAAAGCACGACGTAGATCACGTGATTTCAGGTTTGGATTTTTTTGCTAACAACTACGGCTCAATTTTTTACGACCAACGGTCCACGTTGTTCCTTCCTAGGTTCTCATCTCCTGGCGCTCCAATCAGTGACGCCTCAAACGGCAGCATTGACATCAGTTTAAGAGAACAGGTAAGTTTATTTTGCGACCTGCCTTGCCAAGTGATGCCTGCAGCTGATTGCGCACGTCAGTGACCTCGCGGATGCGCTGGGCGAGGGAGGCGTTGACGGCTTCCCAAATGTCGGCAAGCGCCTTGCTAGCGTGTGCAATGCCCTTGGCGATGCGTTCACGCAGCATCCGACTGGCCGCGCGCTCTGACTGACTGCGCTGGATTATGTCGGCAACCTGCTTGTTCCACGTTTCCGGCACCGACTGACTAAGTCAACAAGTTGCAGAGAATACCCATAAAAATGGAAATCAAGACAAACACAGAGTTCTGACATAATTTATCACCTGGGCTATGAGGCGTGATTGATCAAAGTGAGTCGTGCGATTTTGGAAGGCAGTGACTAAAGATCCCCGTTCAAACGACTTCACCTTTTCGGATAACTAGTGAATAAATTTATCGATTTCATGGAGGGGGTAGATCGTTTGTGGCATACCTGACATTTGGGAATCAAGTATTCAACAGTTTACTGTTGCACAGATGCATGACCCTGATCGGAACCAATCGGACCCCTCTGTTTAGCACGTTAACGAAGTAAATCGTTGTTTTCCCGATCCATTTACCCGCACTTCCACGAAGAGGAAAAATGAATGAGTCACTGTCTCTCCAAACTGAGTCATGACAAGGTCTCAAGTGGGGAACCTCCCACTGTCGCAGCCAGAGGCCGAGTACATGATCAAATCCGCCCACTTATAAATGGCGTGGGAGGCCTTAAGTGCATTTCAGAGTAATAGAACACCGAAAGGTGAATGGGTCAATGGTAAGGAGACGGCCGATTTGTATACAAAATGATGTGCATAGGCATATGAATGCAAATAGAGCGACTTAACATTGTCAAAATCTTGACATGAGATAGTCTCGAGGTTGCTGAATCTCCAACAACATGGGGATGTAAAGCTGGGGCATTGGTCATACACTCAACTGGGGGCAACTAAGTGGCTCTGTTAGAGAAATAACACAAAGTGTTAGGTTAGTTTTTGTAACTCACGTTTGATCAATGCACTCTACACCTTCATACATGTGAATGCCGGCAGAACTGTTGCGCATTGAGTGGGCAGCCTCATCCAATTGGATGGCCATAAATTTGTTGGCCTTGTCCATCTCAAGTTCATGCAATGCCGCCTTGTTTAACCTAGGCAAAAATTTAAATGCGAGCCAAGTTACGCACTATTGTCAGTTAAAGTGTGTTCGTTATAGTAAATACACTTTGAAGACAACGATTGAGTGTCTATGTAACCCAAACTCCAAAAATCAAATCAAATTTATTTCACTAAGGCGAATTCTTCACAGACTCAGAAAACTGGTGGACACAGACGTCCCATGGTTGGCAGTAGTAAAGTCATTTGGAAATACCAGAGTAATGCATTACATTTCAGGAACATTTGCTACCCTTGACTCAAGGAATTTGATTATGTAAGACCTGTTGTGTTTACAACTGTCCTGAATTTCTTCAAAGAACCTTGGCAATTGCTTGAAATGAACTAAAAAGTAGCCCCTCAGTTACTTTCAACATAATTTTGGATAAACTTGTGCAAGGAAGAAAATGCAACTCACTGTTCCTGTCGGTTGGCATCGTCTATTAACTTTCGGAGACAGTCTTGAATTGAACGCACCGTGTTAGCTTCCTTAAGGTAGAAAATTACCGGTCATGAGGAGAATTCTGAATAAGATATTTCGTCTGCTTTTACCATTTGAGCTTATCAAGAGCCTAGAAATTTATTTACCAACTTGAAGCACTGAAACTCGTCTATTCAAATGTGTTTGCGTCTCCTCGAATGAGTGGACTCAACAATAAATGTTAGTCGAACACATCCGACTTGAGAACACAAATACATAGCACTCTGTGAGAAAATAGGTTTTCTTAACTCCTACAGCAAATAAATACGATTTGGTATGCCATTTAAACCAGTCGGTGAATCCTGAAATCATACCTCGATTAGTTTTTTCTCCACATCGTCATGAACTAAATCCAAACCCTGACGCCTTTCTCTGTTGTAAAGACACTCTTGTGTGATGTGGAGCTGGTTTTCTGTTTCAGCCAATAATTTTTCAGTTACCCGACGCGACCGAAGTAGGTCATTGTTTTCCTGAACCATTTCCGATATCTCAGTATCCAGTTCACTCTTCCAGAAAGCGGTATCACATATCTTATCGCCTAGGCGTCTTGTTGAATCCTGTTGGTTGGACTTGGCTCTATCAGCCAGCTCTTCCTCAAGCCGTAAGGAGTCATGAACGAGACATTCTGAGTCCTTCTGGGTTCTGTCATTGGCCTGAAGTAACCGGTTGTAGCTGTCAAACCAATTTCTTGGAGTGTAGCGCGTGTAAAGGGCGTTCCTAGCCGCAGAATACACGGATGGCACACGAATTCCACAAAGTTCGCTCAGTTGTGTGTCTGCAGCTCTTGTGTCAACCTGAGATGACGATAAAGGATAAACAGGTGACAATTTCGAGGCGCTATAGTAGTTTGCTGGTCTGTAAGCAAGAGTGGTGAGGGATCTGCGGTGTGGATATGGCGTGGGACAGGCGTCGGGTAAAGTGGGTTTTAGCGGTGGCAGTGTTGCCACAACGGGCAATTTAGCCGGTATCTGATGGCGCCGGGTGGAACTTAAGTAACAGCTAGTCGCACTGTGCCCAATAAACTCCATGCTTTAGTTGTAGGCTTCGAAAGAAGTTGCGACTGGCTTCAGCCAAGGTACACGTACATGGCACAGTTTGAATTGATGATCGATAGCCCGCCGCACGCTAAAGGCGCACAAACGTGGGTAGTTGAAATGCATCTGAAATTGCCCAGAACCGTCCATCAAGGAGGGTATTATCAGTAAAAACGCATAATTCCTTAAAAATAAGCTTAACGCTCTGCGTAATCTTTTGGCAAGCATGCACGGCTTGTGCTTGATAATGTACAGCTCAGAACAAGAGAGGAATTTACTAATTGTTTCGACACTCGGCCATCTAACATAAGTTATGTTTTTGTAATTGTAAAACTTTTGAGGGTCACAGACATTTGCAAGTTGGCATACCTGACCTCATGAGATAAGTCACCGGAGTCAGGGTAATATTTTTGAATTATGTTAAAGATGGTGTTTCGTAAAACTCGCAAAATGTTGTCTCAAAATTGCTCAAACTCGGATCACCTGAGTTCCAGTTGAAGCTAATGTCGAATCTTTAATTTCACCAATTCTTGAGTTTTTTAGATTGCTAAACTTCTCTTTTTATTCTGTACAAGTTGACCACATTGCTCTATCATGACAGATTTTATCTCTGCCTCACTTTAGGACTTATTAAAATGTTGGTGTTGCAATAACCCACACAGCCTCAAGGTCCAAATGAAAACTATCATCTCTTTAGAACTTTACGGCCTGGAATCAGGAGTAATTAAAACAAGGATCGCAGGTGTCAGTCCTGTTGGTAGCACCGGATGAAGTACGGATTTCAAGTTCTAAAGAGCATTTTGCCACCGTAAAATGCATTTGTATTGTAGCAACCAAACTGATTATTTGTGAAAATTTGCTAACATGGCAACTGTTGTTCAGCGTAGAAAGAGTATTATAGGGGTGGCGTATTAGTACCAACCAATCTGTCTAAACTCTAACAAATGTGTCGACTTCGTTGGACCACCTCAGCATTCCCACGCTGGGAGCCATGATCTCTAACCCACTGCAGCAGCGACAAAGACTCGGATTTAAATAAATGAGCCACAAGACTTTACACACGGGTAATTAAACGAAAAGTCTTGCTCTAATGAAGCCATTTTAGCCACACTGTTTTGCTGCCTTTTTCCCTACATTATTAGCAAGCTTTCACAAAAGAACAAGGTGACAAGCCAAATAAATGGTCATAAATTCTTGTGTATTCAGTTATTGTTAAAGGCGCATTGCACACCAGCATTTACTAAAATAATATCGTCGTATAAATAATCGTGAGAGGTCGCAGCATTAGAGGAGCAACATGGTTTGTTTAAGTCGTGTGTTTGTGAGCCTACGTTCTCTGGCATATATGGGCGGTTAGACGTGGTGATTTGTTGTATCCAGCTATGGGTTTCGGAGGTAATGCTGGCAAATGTCAAAGTTAATCTTACATGTAGATATGGATGACACGATCCTGCATCATTCATACTGATACCCGACACATGTTTTGGTGCAGAGGTTCAAGGGAGGATCACTAAATGAACAAATTTAGATTTAACTTTATTTTGTCTTTTGTGACATTCGCACACCGTAATGTTTAAAAATAATACTCACATAACCATGGAGGTATGTGTCTCTACTGCATAATAAATCAAATTACAAGGACAGCATTAAATCGATCTTTTGCACAAATAGTCTTACAAACTTTTCAAAGGAGATTTTTTAGGTCATTTAATGCCCGCGTATTTGCTGTTTTAAACACTTCATCCACTTAATGGAGTTGCGGTTTATGGTGTCGACGACAGCCAACCATGACAACAGCCAAACCCCAAGGTACCTCCCTAGAAGACTCTTCAGTCCGCCGTAACTGGGTCTGTACTGGTATTAAATAAGAACTATCATCTTCCGACGGCAGTCTTTTTTCTTGAATCGGTTCTCATAAAAGCATTCTCTTCAGACAAGAGATAGCCCGAAATGTACAGAATGGACTGGAAAAAGACCTCAGATGGAAAAGACATAGCCATTTATTTGCCCAGTATGCATTGACATGGCCTGTGTTGATGTACTGTTTGGTAATGTAAAAATGCAATGTCTTTGAGCAAAAACTTACAATTGCAAATAATAGCATGCGACGTTTAGCTAAGCCAAGTAGTTGCACCTGCAGGCACGTCACTGATGACTAGTTACCGGTGCCATAACGCTAAGCAGGTACTCTACAACGTTATTATACATGTCAAGAAGCAGGAAGACTGTAAAAAGATGGCATAATCTATTGGCTGCAGTAGCCAATGACTCTCAAGACATGGTGGCATTGCAAAGCGTTGGTAAGTTTTTAAAAAAGAGATGAGGAGTGAGTGGGATCGGTCGTCTCCCTTACAAGCTCATCATCATGTTTTGCGATGACACATTGATTGGTTTAAAGGCTTGGTGATTGCGTGGCGGGGATCTATGGTACTGAGCATTACCGCAGCAGCGATAAAGGTCCCAGCTGGTGAAGTTTGTCGCCAACTTTATTAAGAGAAAATGTTTTTGTCAGGAAACATTGAAGATCTGTATGAGCAACGCCTTTCCTCCTTTATTTAAACCTGTCGGGTTATTGGGTAAGACAGGAAGGTCTTTCTGATGTCTGGTACCAAGACCATAAATACCGTAGAATAGAGTTATATGACGTGTTTTGTCTGGTCAACTAGAGCTTATATGCCGAAGACGCTAAGACAACGACAAAGTATTATTTGAATATAGGCAGGCAGTTGTCACGAAAGGATCTAACTGCGGGCTGCTCAATGACGATCTCAACATCGCGTTTACAAGTCAGTGAATGCAGTATGTCATCTTCAGCTGATTCACATGTTGGCAGCTGTTCATAATAGAATACTGGTGACCTCAGATGGGGAAGTAATTGGCGGGGATAACTGAAGAAGGCGCCATTTTCCAAGTGTGAGTGAAAGCTTTTTTGGACAGTGAGTTGAGTAATTAAGAGAATGGGGAAACTTCGACATGAACAAATCTAGTTCACCAAACGAGTGACGCACCACCTGCCCACCCTGCCAACTCATCGACCATTATACATAGGAAAATGTTGAAATTAATAGATGCTATCAAACGTTAAGGGTTGATATTTGCTCGGTAAATAATACAGGCAGCTAGAATAGAAAGACCAACGAGTTTCAGTTAATAAATAAATTCTAATGAGCAAACTGGTAAGAAGGGACTGTTAGAAATGAGAAGAATTTTACCCTGGGTAACATAAAGTGATCTGTATTCCAATGGGGTAAATGTGAACTGCGCATTTACGACATTGATGTTTCTAGTTAACTTTTGTTAATCATTCAAAAAATTTCAATGCTTTGGAATTGATTTGGTCATTAAAGTCCAGTCAGACAAGGAGTTGTGGTTCCGTTGAAGAATACCCGAGCCCTAGGACGAAGAAGGCTGGTACAGCAGAAAGGGTTTTATTGACCAATCACAAGTCAGAATCACGCATCAAGTGTCATCCATCCAAGTCCACTACGCTGGCTACGCCGCTTACTTTACACCACTTCTCCAACGTGTCTATCTCTGGTTGGCTGCCTATCTTCTTCGCATGCCATTAAAGCGTAGAGGGACAGAGGACTAGCTAGGGCCAGTGTGGTCTAAAATGTCTGAGACCTTAAAGGTCGCTACACCATTTCAGTCTGCTAAAATATGCTTTTTTAATTGCACTAATTATAATTTAATTAATAAAACATTGCTCTTTGATCAGCTCGTTTCTTAAAAAAATGGTAGGAAACAAACGATTTTCAAAGCTTGCATTTGCTTGTGGTTCCACTTATTTTATAAAGTATTCTATTCGTAACTATACCTTTTAATATTGTCGCCATTTTTGATAGAACTGCCAAACCAGAACAGGCTGATTTCAGATGTTGCGGTTAAGGTGAATTAATTATAGGGATGACATTGTAAACGAAAGCAATGCAGCATTCCCCTTTATGTGTTTGCAAACCCTTTCATGCAAAACATAGCCTGTAAACGAAGTTAAAAAATTGACAGTGCTTTTTATGGATTGTTTTTTGGCTTGAAGACACATTTCGAAAGTGTCCCAATCATGAGTAATACATCTAATGGCAAACAATTCACCATAGATCTAAAAAATTAATAAAATATTCTGGTATAGCAAAGATAGATCTTCCGTGGCATCAATAGTTATCCTTAATAAGCAAATATATATTCCTATGGCAAGTGTGGATAGCGTTTGTACTTTATTTAAAGGCCGTCAACTCGGATATCTATAACTTTGGCAGCTTCAAAATATTTAATAAAAGTAATACAAATACACTTTACAACTACCTACGATATTTCAACAAGGCCCGCTGCAACGTGTTAACAAAACCCTTGGCGTGTAGATGGAAGGGTAGATAACGAATTCGGGCAATGGCGGTTTGCTCTCTGAAATAATTGATGTGTAGGGGGAACTTTCCTGTTGACGCCGTTTGCCACTAAATTAATAAAAAACTTAAAGCAAAATTTTTTTAGATAAGTCGGCCTTTCAAGTTCCCTTTTGAAAAGCAAAAAGTTTAGGTTTGATGGTTGATTTCCCACATCGCTACAAGTGCACGTTAGTTAGATCAGATTTTAGGCTAATTAATTTACCGCAAATAAGATTCAGTACTCTAAATGCAAAATTACTTTCATTTGCAAAATTGTCTGTTTTGTAATTACATTTAATTAGTTTGAACAATAAAATGTTACCAGAAAGTGGAAATTTGAAAAATCACAATGCCTTACCATATTTATCATTTCAACATCTAAAATTAATATAAGTCACATTTTTTTCAATTTCAATAAACCTGAAGTTTGGCTTGGAACTATTTCTTAGCATTCAGCTTTGTTTTAACGTCAAATTCTTTACTTGTAGCGGCTCTTTCGTTGGACACGTTTGTCACAAGGATGAGGTACTGGTAGTTTCTGGATTTTACTCCATGTTGTATATCTGTTGTGCATTAAATTATTTCTTCCTTAATCGTTTTTAGTGGTGATACTGCGGTGGCCTCAAAAGCTCTGAAGACTGAATTACAAAAGAAACCTGCGGGTTCTTCAAAATCCAAGAAACCCTCTGTCCCTAAAGACGTCAAACCAACTGATTCTAATGAGAAAACAGTTGCCGCGGAAAAGGATGTGAAAAAGCCACGAAAGCCTGAACGTCTTTCATTTAAGCAGCGTCTGCGCGCTCGCAAGATAAAGACGGAGGCCCAGAAAAAGGTTGAACGTCGTCGGAAATACTTAAGACTTAAAAAAATATGTATTAAGCGTGCCAAAAAGTATTTACTTGTAAGTTTTCTTTTGTGCTTCTTCATCGTATGTAGGAATACAAACGCGCCGAAAAGCGTGAGATTAACTTGCGGCGCAATGCCGAAAGGTTTGGCAATTTCTATGTCCCCGCTGAGCCTCGTTTGGCCTTTGCCGTAAGGATCCGTGGTATAAACGGAATTCACCCAAAGCCCAGGAAGACGCTTCAGTTAATGCGTTTGCGTCAGATTAACAACGGCGTGTTTGTTCGCTTGAATAAGGTAGGTGTGTTAGCCATTACCGATATATTTTAGGCCACGCTTAACATGCTTCGTCTAATCGATCCCTATATTGCATGGGGATATCCTACACTTAAAACCATTAGACGTTTGGTTTACAAGCGCGGCTTCTGTAAAGTTCGAGGCCAAAGACTTCCGCTCACCAACGCTCGCATCCAGCACCGTCTTGGACGCTTTGGCATTTTGTGCGTGGAGGATCTCGTTCACGAAATCTATACCGTCGGTCCCCATTTCAAGCAGGCGTCATCATTCCTCTGGCGTTTCAAATTGAATAACCCCACCGGTGGATTCCGCAAGAAGGGCAGGCACTTTGTCGAAGGTGGAGATTTCGGAAACCGCGAAAATTACATCAACAAATTGTTGAAGACCATGATATAAAATATAAATTGGAACAGGTTTGTAGTCGTGTCTTTTTCAAGAAGGTGTTATGTGAAGAGAAGCGTCTCAGGTACATATGTACTGTCGGCGTTGGAGGCCTCAGACCCATTTTTATTTCTGCGTCGCCTAAACATTTGATACATCGCTTCTTTCATGGTCTTGGTTTTTTACTACTGTCCTTTCTATTTTCGATCAACTTTGGTAAGACTCGTCGACATATTCGTTCGAAAGCAGGTGTTAACAAAGTGGTCGGGTTTGTCAAATTCTCGAGCATTTTGCAAAATCCAATTTTAATGTTTTGGTCTGAAATCCAAAAGGTAGTACTGCAAATCTTGAAGTTTGTCCCTATTTCTAATCAACGCACCAGTGTGTCTTGAGATTAGGAGGGGAGCTTGTTCTTGTTAATACACTGCTAGCCATATTTTCAGTAAGCGGAGTGCCGTTTGCTTGAATGAATTCTGCAGACGGATTTTTCTTCCTCAAAAGGAGGCGGTCCTGGCTGCTAATTTAGGTTAGGCCGTAAATTTTGAACGATGCGATGGTTTGAGTGTTTACTCACGGAAAGGTTGGCTAATGTGGGTATTTTGCGCGGAAGTCGACTCCCATATTTAGCCTTTTTAGTTTTCATGCCAACGCAATAGCCTCTAATTTCAAAATGACACGTGCTAACCGTCGCTTGGAAATTCTTTGGTCAGTTTTGAGCACGTCGAGGATGTTTTTCGAAGTCTAACTAAACAAAATGTCCAAACCGCCCCATTAGAGAGTACATCCGCTCCCTCACGGAGCACTGCCTTTTTGAAATATATTTCTTTTTAAGCTGATTGATATAGGTAAGGGTCTGTTACGTGGTATAGACTACTTCGGTTTCTGATTACTTCAATTTTTTTATCAACTAATATCACTAGAACCCAACCTTATAAAAGCGGTTATCGGTTAGGCTAGTTTAACCCCAAGGTGGTTATCACTCAAATGTCATTCCCACTCATTTTGATACCGGTTTTGTCGTGCTTACCACGAATTTCCTCTGCTGTTCGAACCTTAATTTAGTCGAAAGCGTTTTTTAGAATTTGTGAGACTAACTGACGTCAAATTCTTTGGCGTCTTTCAAAAGTAAGATGCAACATCTGCACGGCTCTGGTTAGACAAGTCGAATTTCTGATTTCCAACTGTCACAAGTCTTCTGATCGTTGCAAATTTATTTTCCTTTACTACCAGAAGACAGGACCGGGGGCGTGCACAGTTATTTCCAGGCTGCTTTTACCACAATTAAACCACTTTTACAAATTAGTTCATTAAACTAAACATTTAAAACAAGTGTGACAGTGTGCCGGAAAAAATGCCCGTGTGTTGGGGTTCTCTGAATGCTTTTATTTTCTGTTCCACAGTGTTAGCTCAGGTTTTCGTAGTAGGGGGCTTTGTAACTGATGTTTGAGCTTGTGGTTGTGTTCTTGGGGGAGTTGACACTGTTTGGATTCGCTGGATTTAGCAGCCGCTTTGATCCATAAGATCTCTCCCTAGGGCCAATCAGACAATCTCCCAAAAGCAGTTAGCCTGCTCTCTCCACAAAGGAACAACACTTGCCTTGGGCGCACTTTTTCTGACTTCCGTTTCTGTGAAACTGCCCACCAGGAATGCTTCTCTATTGATAAGGTGGTCGTGTGACAAAAATCATTCTCTCTTCTGCTTTCTTATTGACCATACATGCTCTAGCAGTCGGCCATATTGGACAATAACGAAATTTGATTCGGGTCCTCTGTCAACAGGCCACCCAATCTAATCGATAGGTATCTTTCACTTTCGTTCTTATTCACCCATTTGACCACGTGGACCAGAAACGAACAAGCGTGCTCCTCTGGCTGCAATACATTGCTTCTTACCGCTGAACTCGCGTTCATGATGTTGCTCAATTGTGAAATGCCGATCAATGCATGAAAAGCCAACAATCAAGATGACTTCGAAACTTATCGAGACTAATTGATTGTACTTTCTTGAATCGTCTCCAACAGTCTTCCATGAGGGTGCATCGTCCCTCGTTGGTTGGTCCGAGTTTATAAATCATTGGGGAAGTCCATTTAGTTCTTACTACATTAGCCATCAGATAACTTGCACGCAATGAAAACAGTTCGAATCAGTTTGTGGGTTGTGCAGACGTAAAGAACGCAAGATCTGCCTAAAAACTACACAAAAGCTTTACATCCCACCCAGCGACTGACCACCGACCAATCAGGACACCCCAGGGTCCGTGGAGGAAAGCCTGTGGACACTGATGAGGGTGGGAAAGGCTACCGCGAGTGACCTCTCTAATGCTGCCAGCGCTGAGCAAATGGGGGTATTTACATCTAGCCCTCGTCACCAGACATCTCGACAAAAAAGAAACAACGGCGCGGTAGCGGGAATGTTTAGTATCACAAGCGTCTTGGATTTAGAGATGATATGACACACTGGGAGAAGCAAAGAAGCGAAAGGTATTTTTTAAAAAAAAACTAGGCAGCATTCACAAATTGGTTGATAGAGGGGCAGTTCTGGGCGTTCCACTGACTGTTGGACTATGAAGCATCTGCAGGAAAGCCTGACTATCGTTTTTGCCTGCGAAGCTATTCCTCAGAGCGTCGGTCGACACTACAACCTCCTCCTCATCGTCATCTTCCACACCGCGGTTACTGCTCGAGTCACCAAGGAGACTTTCACCTCCTGCCGGCCGGAAACGTCTTCTACGGTGGCGCATGTCGCTGGCAAACCGCACCACGCCTCCACGGAACGTTTGAGATGACCCACCGTACTTGACAGCGAGGGATACGAAAAGGAGTCCAAACACAATTGCGAATGAGGCAATAATGGAGCCTGAGAAAAAAATGCTACTTAATGATTAAAAGTACAGGATATTGTTTGAGGAAAAATTACTTTCTGACCGCGCATGCGTCACCTTAGCGGTTGTCAGTATTAACTTGCAGACAAGAAAAAAAAACTTTTTCAAATTAGGTGACACGGAAATTGTTTGCAACAAAGTGCTTCATGCTCAAGAAACAACAGCGTCCAGTCGTATCTCATCTGAATTTTTACCGACAATTGTTTCAGATTTGAGACCATGGCTTTTTAATGAGACTGAGACGAATGCGAAAGGTGGTTACCCTAGTCGGAGTGCACCAACATGTAATTCTGCGTCTCCGAGGAAACTAAACATCGATTTAATTCGGATCTGGAATCGACCTAAGGCAAATCGAGTGTGCATTTTACCAAGATTAATTCAAACGAATCGATGCTATGGCGGTCTGAATGTGGTGCGAACACACGTTACGCAAGTTTCAGCACAAACTCAAAGCATTAGAGATACCCACTGAAATTGGCAAGTTATAACGTGTTTGTGAGCGTGTTACAGTGTGTGCGTCACCTCTGCCGAACCAAGCAAATTGCCACGGAAAGCGAAAAACGACGGTGAAAAGGGAGTTTTTTTCTGTGAAATCAACCACACACGTGTTTTTTTGATAAGCATGAGGACATCGTGGGCGACAGCTTACGCACGACAACCACTGATGGAAGGACCAGCTGACAACCTCGAAACTCACTTCACGTCATCACCGAAAAAGCGGTTTCAAAAGTCAGGGGTAGGGAGGAAATGCAATGCCATAAATACACACTGCGCAGGGAGTGACAGCCTGGAATTGTTTTAATTGTTGTCGACTTGAACAGAAGGCGTAAAGCTACCTTGCACACCCGCCGCCGCCGCCCACGCTGCTTTGTGAGTTGAGTTTATCGCCAAGGGCAGAGGTATAGGCTAACGTGGTTGGTGCATAAAGTAGGCTTGGGATTGGCTTTTAGAAAGCAGCCTGCCAGAGACCAGACTGTCCAATAACGTACCGCTGATAAGTGTAGAGGCAGAAATCCCCATGAACAGACCCGTTTCTACTGAACTGGCGCGTCCCGTGGCATAGGCGTTGAAGTCGTCGAGTTCGCTTTGAGTGGGCGGTTTCCGGAGAAGGTGGCTCACCCGCGCCAAGTGGCCCGAGTGGGGCCATGGACGAGTCAGGCCCAACGCCCAGCACACCAGCGGGTAGACGTCGGTGAGCTGGATATGGTGTTTGGCGGTCTTCTTGCAGGCCCTGTTTGAGGTGTTAAAAGCCGGGCCCGAGAGAATCACATAGGCTGACTCCGCCTCCTCCAAATGCTGCTTGCGAACTTTTCGGGAAACAAAAAAGACGAAATGAATCAAAACTGAGATTGGCGCACGAAAATTTAACGATGCTAAACATCTGAGACGATAAACACTGAGTTAGTGAATCGATTGTAACTAGTAGTAAGCCAGCGTCATGGCAAAGTGGTTTCAAAACAGTACATTACTTCAAAGTGACATGAAAGGAATACTTGAAAGGGGAGTGTATATAGGGATGCAGGCTTTTCTGATTTCTAGTATTTGTGAAGCGTTACAAAAGTGAAACCGACAAACAAGTTAACGTGAACTTTTATATTTATTTCATTGGGGGTAGTGTTACGCACGCACGCACACACACACGCGAATGCATAACGGGTACTACGAGACCACTGGACTCCTAGATTTCACAGCGCGCTCTCAATCACCAGCGTGCGCACGCAAAGCCACAGTAACGTTAGGAAAGCACCAACCTTAAAAATGAAATAAGTAGTCACGACCACAAAAATAACGGAAGGGGTGAGCCAGCCCATCTACCGTTCCTAGTGATTGAAATAGTCTATCGTGGCATTCTCGATAATTTTGATGCATCAATGGCTATAGAAACACGATGAGTGTGCTGAAGCACCCGGCGTGTTGAACACGTTAGGCCTTCTACGAGTTGAAGGTCAACGCTTTTGTGAGGCGGTCTAGAGGGCTCACTTTACCCAGTTTCAACTACTTTTCTAAGCTCCACTTGGTACCTCCTAAGCTTGCCATAATCGTCAACCGAGTTTTACCTGTGCTCTCCATCTGCCTGCCTCGAATTCCGTTTTTCTGTCCCGTCCACCGCAGAAAACGAACATGTATTTCGAGCCACACCGGGGACAAGTGACTGACACTGACGAGGCCCGACCACGAGAAAGAGGAGACCGCAGACAGGGCGTAGTTTAACCGATTTATTGACACGGCAATTGCGCGGTTGTTCAGAGTGTGAGTTCATAGCGTGCTAACGCGTCAGCCTATATAGGAGAGCTTGACGTCGCTCTCTAAGCAAACATCGCGACGTGAAGGGCAGCCAAGATGATCAAACGAATCCGTGCTAGCGCACGCTAACAATGTTAGCTCGCTGATCGTCACAAGTAAATCGATTGTAATGACGACGTCAAATGACTGCACATAAACACCTTCTTCCCATACATTTGTTCTACGGTGATATTTACAGAAAACGAAGAACGCAACTTGGGTACTTTTCGGTATTGAACTTCAGACAACATAAGCGTTCCTATGTCGTTTATACATGGCTAATCTCATCAATGTGCATAAATATTCAAAATTCAGTATTTTGTAAAGTAAGTGTAATTGATGGTACTTAGTAATCACTAGTGATGGGCATATGTTTGTGCGCGTCGTAAAATAGAAGGTGCTTAGGTAGGAGAAAAGGCTAATGCTCACTCACGAAATAACATTTTTCCTGGTTTCGCTACAAGGTAATATGGTGGGAGAACACCAACATCCACCTGGGGAAAGCGCTCGAGGAATTGGGAAGTATTACACGTGATAAAATCACTATTTTTACCAGCGAGAACAGTCCGGAGACTCTCATTTTCTCGATCTAAAAATGAAATTTTAGGTTTAAAGTAAAGAGGGAGAGTTAAGATAAACACAAGTTTTGTAAAGATAAATTGATAAAACCGTAAGTAGCCACGCTTTCTTCCTTATCTGATATAGGCAAATGCACCAATGATGACATGAGATAGACAGTAGCCATTTACTCAAGTTTAAGGTCATTGACTACGAACAGCTATGAGGTTGAGAAGGTCCACCAATACCGCAGTCACGTCAGAACCACCTGTTTTTTAAATTTAGTGAGGTAATATAAACATCAAAGAAGGCAAATCACGGGATGAATCAGATCGGAAGATTTCTTAAGTAGATAGGCAAATTTGAGAGACAATGCACAACAAACCTTCATCGAATCGAAATAGCCACATTAAGCAAAGCAGTGAAACAAGTGCAAACTAACTAATTGTCGCATATTTACATTTAAAGCAACTACAACAAACACAAAATTCCACAAGTAACTAAAATGACATACAAGGTGGCAGCCAGACTTCAAAGTTATGGCCACTAGCTAGGTACTGATTAAAGTATCGTGTCGACTTGAAAAGATCTTCAATAATAACGGGCGATTCATCTGAATTTGAATTCGCGACTGCGAAACCCCCAACAAATACGAAACTGACAGAAGAATTCAATTTCGGGTGGTTTTTAATGTGGCTGAGTAGAGAAGATAGAAAGGCGTTCGTGTATTCGACGGATAAAGAGGAGATATAGTCTCCATGAAGACCTTCTGTGGGAGGAATAAAAATATCAACGAGCGAAATAGCAGGGGAGAGGAGCCACTGGATAATCTGATCAATATTAAAATAGGCACTATGTGTGCTGGGATTAATGCCGGCAGTTTTGAAAGGACGCGATCCGTTTACCGAAATATAATCCTCAGGCCAAAAATATGAGGCGCTTTGATGGCCATGGCGTTGATTAGTCAACCAGAGAGGTTCAGATGTTGGTTTGATTTTTGAAAAAATAAGTTTATCACAGGTCATTTCACGGGAATTATTAAACGTAGTTTCTTGACTGGATCCGCCAGAAAGCATCAAGGAATGCGCTTGCATTGATGATGTGATATTATCAATAGGGATCCCATGTATGAGGCATCCATTCTGCAGGAGTTCATCAAAAGCCGATAAATTATGGTCAGAGTGGCCACTCCATGTTAAGGCAATATTTTGAGCAGAGATGAGCACTATTTTTTGATGGCTTGATGGTGATACGAACGCTGCTTCACCGATGTTGTGCTGAAGTACTTTTAAGGTACAAAAAATGAAACAAATGCATTTTAGAATCATAGATACAATAAACAGAGGCGCCTCTCTAATTTGAATCGATGGTGAATAAGTACTTAGTTTATGATTGGTCACAAAAGAAAGGTCAAGGTTTAATCCAAGAATAAAAAGAAATGGTTAGGTGCGTAAATGCATCTAAGAGATAATTGCATTTACATAAATAGTTTCTGCTTTTTAAAAAAATTTTATGATACTTATTGCAGTTTTACAGATTCGGCTTACTAGTAGAATGACAATGCACTAATTAGACTCAAGTCAACGAAATTCCTTAAAGTAGTTGTTGATAAGTTCAAAACTGAGATCAGAATAAATGGGCTAATATTAATTACAATTTTTTATGTTAAAAAGGAGGATTAGACTTAGCCCTAATTGTCTCTTCTCATTTTGAAATTTAAAAGAATAAGTGTTGCATTTGGAGCAATTATTTGATTAATGAATTTTTATTTATTATTTAAAAAGAATGCTTTCAGAACATGCCTTGAATACCAATAGCCATAAATAACTTCTACATAAGGACGTTCAGTGTTGGAAAAAACTTGACTTATTTAAATGTGAAAATGTTCTTATTTGAATTGTCGACTTTATTGATGATTAACTTTCCAGGTTATATTGATGTAAGATTTGGGTTCTTTAGTTGTTAGACAAAGACAGATATCACTGAAAAAGCAGGCTAGGAGAATTAGAAATAATCTGTGTTAATTTCTATCGGAGATTTGGCACCTTGTTTAAAGCCGGAAAATGGGGTCTGTGGACCAACGAGCGATTGCAACACTCATATATGCATTGCTCTTCAATCACGTGAATCAGTATATTAATTTTAATGAAACTATTTAGATAAAGAAAGTGCACATCCAACAATTAGGTCATCTGGAATTATATTCGTAATGATATTTTTATTGTTTTACATTTTCATCTCGAACGAATGTTGGCCGATGCTCGATGTTGTTAAAAATTAAATTTCTAATCGAATCACCATCCAGTCAACTTGGCTATGCAACCAAAGCCTGAGTAGAAAAAAGTATGTACATCAGTTGATCAGTGTGTTCAGAAAAAATGTAATATTGGTACTACATTCTGGTCCCTTTATTCATGAGTCAATGTGTCAGCATTTGAAACAAACACGTTTATCACTTTTCATTAGTTCGAAATATTGCGCTGCTGATAGACGCAGGTAAGAGTGATTGCTTGGAATTTGGTGAAAAAGAACTTTCACTGTTATATTAAAACTGTTTCAATTACAATCAAATCTTGAGCGATAGTACAGACTACCTACCTGTGAATTCTGGTAGTTTGCACAGTTTTACTTTTTGGTAAGGGTCAAAATCTAACCCATTCAATTGCATATCTAACGGAACTGCCTGACATACGAGAGTTTAAATGTTTGTAACGAATTGTTTTGAGGAACCTGTGCATGCACCTCACTTCACTCAGAATTACATATAAATTTGCTACTCAAAATTTAAAGTAGAATCATTTTTATAAGTACAATCAGAACGGATGAGAAGAGTTAAAGGACATTTTCAAAATAAAATCTAACCTTGTGGAGTTTTTGATTGCTTTGTGTTTTTTTTCATTTTCGATCATAACCTCTAAACGATGCCTTAAGGGCCCAAACGAAATGACTGCAGAACAGTTCCCCAGACTGATTTTTGTTAAGCAGTCTTGAAGTTGGGGCTACGAAGAACTAATAGTTGGTCTCTTTTTAAAACAAACCAACTTGCGTTGTATTCTTGCTTGATCAAGCGTGTGTGGCTTGCAAAGTCATTTGACAATCATCTCTGGACTGCTAGAGACTTGAATTCGATGCCCACATTTTAAAGTTATTTAAGAATAAGTGGTTGGACTTATTTTCACGTGCTTTAGCACACCCTAGATGCCAGTAGCTACCAAAAATTTAAAAAAATTAATTGTTTTTTAAAGACAATGAAGTGGTTTATTTTTTTCGGAAAAATAGTGCAGACGAAACACAACAGAGCCATGGGAAAACAGCAATGCCAACTCTTAATGTTACAGCACTGTTAGTAAACTTAAAACAGAACTCTCGGTATTCCATTTTATTCGTCACGCTTCTTTCCCTAAAAAAGAACAAAAATTATTTCCGAGTGACATGGTGTTGGTCCGGAAACAATTAAAGACGACGCTAAATGGTAGCTTTTTTAAGCAATGGTACAGAAAAAAAGTATTTGAGATGAGAATACGTGAAGTTGCGATTGAATTTTATTTATTTTATGTGGGGCTTGTTAATTGTATCCACCCATTTGCAACCTTGTTTTTTACTCTACGCCCCATAGAAGCTAAGAATTTCATTGAAAATTTTTACGTCGCTTTCCATTCCTTTGTTTATGCTATCACTTAACACTTCAGCTATTTGCAGTTGTAACCGGCCTAATCAATGTCCAAGACTAGTGTTAATAGCTTCCGTGAATCTCCTCCTCGAATTACTTGCTAGCCCTCCAATCTCACTGATGCTGTCACAGTATTCCTGAATACATGTTACCCACCTTTAGTTTTTCAGGCTTTGATTACCTAGTTCTTCACAGATATCTGCCAAGTCAAACTTACAAAGGTGCTCAGCCTTTTCATCGACAGTATACTCTGCGACCTCTTTCGCACGTCGCCGGCTGCTGATGTCACCGTTCTGTCACTCTCGTAGCTGAACTGTTTGTCAGCAATTGGCGGCGGTGGGGGTACGTTCATGGCCTGCAGTAGCAGTACAGGATTAAGCATTACACAGTGGTACAAGGGTTGTCTGATCCGTCGAACAGTAGCGATACCTAGTTTATTATTTTTAAATTCTTGCTGGGTACCGCTTGTATTTCAAGGACTAATAATAAAAAAGGGAAGGTAATTGGTAAGTTCAGTGAATCGAAAATCGCCACTTGTATTGCTTCTATTGTGTAAAGAGCAGTTAACTCAGGGTACAAATTACTTTACCTCAACCTGGGTTAAACGAACTAACCGATATCAGGTTCTCTAGGAGACCGCGCATTTGTTCGGTTCGCTTATTCTTAACTTCCTCGTTTTGTTCCAGTTTGTCAACAATGCTGCGCAGCCTCTCGGTTACATTTTTGACGCAGCTTTCAAGTCGAATGAGACGCACGTAGGCTCGATTCACCTCCTCCTTGCTTGCCACGCGGGTGCTGAGCATTTTGGACACCTGCTCATAGGAGTGGCCTATTTCAGCTTCTTGGAAGTTGAACATTTCTTCCATCAGACACATCTGGGCAGGAAAAAGATTTCATTATGTTTATCGTATAACGCTGCTGGGGATCTTTGGTAATTGAGGGAATCGTCATTGCTAAAGATCACTAGGCCAGATTCGGTAAAAGATGAGAATAGTCTACATTTTCGAAAAAATATTGACAGAAGTATTCAGACAATGAGTAAGTTAGAATTCAATTTTACATTGCCGCTTGAAACACCGAAAGTAACCAGTAAGAAGTCATTCCATAAATCAAGTTTACACCACTGTACCACAGTGGATGGATATTCTAGAAACAGAAACCCCGAGAATGGCCTTCATAAACGTGTAATTGGAAGTGCGGGATGCCCACTTACCTTTTTGTTCTCTAGGGATTCAAGCAGTGCCTTACGCTCGTTAGCATCGAGCTTCATGTTCTTGTCTGCGTCAGCTCTGCGGAAAATCTCCTCAAGCGAGTCCCCTCCAACCTCATCGCTGAAATTAGCAAATGTGTGGGGAGTGGGCATGCCAGATAAAATACCGTCTCCGTGTGACTTGGGATAAGGCACAGCCATTTACACTCTTCCAGGCACCCAGTTGTGTTTCAAATCACTTCCAGACTTGGTTTCGTGGCGCAGTAATTTCGAAATTCTCACGAGTAAACTTTTTCGTATTTTTAAGTACGCCTAAATTCCTTTTGCGAAGAGTCAATTAAATTATCTGAATTTCTAGTAAAATGACCGGTTTGTATTTTATACAATTAACGTCCGACTCCTTAGTAATCAGTTAAGCCGTGAGTAGAATTTAATAATTTGATGTGGAAGTACACACAGTTAAAACTGCTAAATTGTTATTAATCTTTGAAATTCAGCATCTTGTTGGTTTAAAACGTTGCAGTTGAAGAAAAACATTGAGAGACACTAGGGACTATTCTCGAGGCGTTAGACTTTCATCATCAGCAAGGGGAGGGTTTGATTAGCACAAAATGTCTGCAAAATAGAAAAAAATCATTGGCCAGTATAAAAGTATGCTCACTCGTTTAGACCAAAACAAGCTAAGTCAGGGAGTGACGACATACCTCATTTCGGCTCTCAAATCGTTAATGGTCATGTCGCATTCGTCAATTCCCACAGCATCGATGGCATCTTGAATCTCTTGGAGTTGAGTCTTTTTCTGCTTCATCTTCCGACGCATTTCCTTTAGACGCTAATTGACAAAGGAGAAAAATGTCATTACATGTCATTGAAAAGTTGACGCTATTTAAAATAAATATCACATCCCCCCACCCAAGGACTGACACCAAGCTACCACTGCCGAATTTGATGCTTTGGTCTAAAAACAATTAAATGACGGTAGGGCCTGGTAGTTGGAATGCATGCCTTCATTATGGATTAAAGTTGTGAATGTAAAGTGGCCATGCGAAGGGTGGAATGTGCAATTTGGATGGAGTTGCGCGAATGCTATCAGCTCTGAGTGCGCTGTTGTCTAGAAATAATAATAATAATAGATCTTTAAGTTCATTGTTGAAAAACTGTGCCATTTGAGTCTTAATTAAATTCTTTAATCACGAGGATTAGTTCCTTCATTCAATACATGCCAACAGAATAAGTTTTTCCTCAGTTATATAATAGAAATAAGTAAAAGTTGCATACTATCCTGTGTTTCTGGGGGTTTTAAATTACAGATAAATATTTTCCTACCTTTTTGAAGAAGGACTTCATTTGGAACTCATTGGGTTGACTTAGAAGGTTGGATTTGACGTCCAGGTATGTGTCGTTGATAATCGCTATGAACATGTTTATGAGGACGAAGAACACAAAGAACGTATAAACAAGAAAATAGAACGGACCGAGGACGCTGTGAGCTTCTCGAAGGGCCTGGAAGTCAAAGTCTCCCAAAATAATACGAAACAGAGTCAGCCTAGAGTGGAAAATGAGTAAGATTGATTATGCAAATTCTGTACGCTGATCTTTCAGGGAAGGCGGGCTTGCACCAAACACAAACGTTAAATCCGCATTATCTAAACTGGTAGTCTCCGCCGTGGTCATAACACACCGATCTATGGCATAAAATTTTGCCTTAAACCCGTCATCAGTGCATTTCAAACAGCCTTTTCCGTATAATGTACACGGAGGCAGTTTGTGTCGGCCTGAATAGGTGCCGTAATTGTCGCTCCATTGAATTAACTTTTGGGGATACTTAATTGACACACACCGAACTTACACAGACACCGCAAAGGTCCCGAAGTCGGTGATTTGTGTTCCAAACGCCAGGTAGCCCAGCTGGGCGAAGGCGAAAAAGACGATGAAGAACATCACACCGAATCCGGCAATGTCCTTTGCACAGCTGCCCAACGTGAGGTTCAGTTGGTTCATGGTTTTGTTGAAACTGACGTACTTAAATATCTAGGCAAGCGGAAATCGTGTCACGTTGAGCTTTACGCCGCGGCCCCAGTTTTCGTGTGAGAAACACGTTCATGCAACGCAGTGGCAACTTCAAGTGAAGCCCTAGTCAGTCCAGAAGTAATTTTCTCGACAAGCAAAAAACACACGCAACCAATGTAACATTTCGTTTCACTGAAGTGCTTGAGTTTTTGAAATGTTTGCTTTTGTTTTATTGTCAAACTGATAATAAATACTCATGGTCACGTTTCATCTAACCCACACTTATTGCTTACTAGTGATCAGTTTCAGTAATAATTACTTCATTCCATTTTGCGGCACTCTTAAAGTTATTTCTGCGGTCTCTGCTTTCACCCAACATGATTTACGATTTGGTCACATTGGTGTTATTTATGGGCATGGGCCGTTTTCCGCAGTAAATATGCCTCATAAATTATTCGTTTATACTTCTGTTTCCCAGTTTATGGCAACAACTTCGAGCCTCGTAAAGGCCCATTCAAGAAGAAGCTGTTTCTTCACAATGGGAAAAGTTAACAGGCACACAACTTTCGCTAGTTAAAAAAGCAAACGTTTCGAGTGTCCAAGTGGCCATGGACCACTTGGGAAGACTTTTTGTACTTAGATCTTAGGTATAAAGTTGAAAATTTTGTCGCTTATCGTAGCTGGCATGAGGGACAGGTGTATGGCTTAGAATACGCAAGAGGCCAATAAATACCTTTATCCAGACCAGAAATACGAGGATGCCGACTGCATACGTGAATTGCATCTCCCAGTAGCTTAGCCGCTCAAAGTTTGAATACTCGTCTGGATGTGATAGAAGGCTCTCCAGGGTCTCATTTACTCGAATGGTGCGATAAATATTGAATGCTGCGCAAACACAGGAGAGGACGATCACCAGGATGTCAAGAACATTCCAGAACTTTCTGAAGTACTTGTAGCCAAGCTTTGTGATCTAAAGCGATAAGCATACACGGTACAAGCTAAGGTACGTTTATCACCACTTTAAGCACTTTCATGTATTCAAATTAACTTGAAACTTATGACCATTGGTGATGTTTAACAAATGCTAATGTTCTAGACATCCTAGTAAAGTTGTCAATCTTGCACCACACAGCTTCAGGAAGTACAACCGCAACCAGGCGTTAGTTGCCGCCAGTAGCATGTCTCACTAATTTACAAGAACCTTTCATATGTACAGTGAAATGGAGTTAATACCTATCACCAAAGTCTTAGGCACCCATTGTGTCGATCACAGGCCAAACATTGCACCCAAGTCCAAAACCTTGCTGTTCTGAGACCTCGTTCCACGTTTAGGTGACGGATTTGACTGCAAGTAATTCATCATGCAAATACATTGAACTTTGTCAGTGCGACCTTAAATGCACAGACTCAAGAGGAATATGCTATTTACAATGAATGCACATAGTTAATTAAAATTTCCGGGGTTTCATTAAATTGATTTAGGCAAAGTGATTTTGACAGGTGGAAAATCTATGGGTTCAAAAGTAGGTAAGGTGACCGCCGAACAAGTTAGTCAAGGCACATAATAGACATTTGATCGAAGATTCAGGGATGGCTTCGTTGGAGCTCAGGATTACACCACGAAGATTAAACCCCGAAGTTTTGTCCTAACCTGCTTAACCTAACAAAACATTAAAGAATTGAATGGATGCAACCCCCTTGAGCTATAACTTACCTCAATTATTTCTTCAGCAACGTAGTAGACAATGAAGAGTAGAAAGAGGCATTCGAAGACCAGCACCACGTAGTCCTGTGTTCGGACGTACCGCAAGAGCTTGACTGTCCGAAAATTACTACTGAACACTACGCCTCCCGTTGATGGCAGTTCCAGGACTAGACTACAATTTACACAAAACCACGTGGCTATCTGGGGAAATGCTTCATCTAAATTATCGCGGAGCAGTCCATGAATTCAAATCTCTCCCATTAACATCCAAACGACCACCACCAATTCCCCCAGATTTGTGAGGAATTGTTGTACATTTCGCAAGTGCAATCGCGAGGCCATTGTAATCGGCTAAAGCATTCCTATTACGCAAATTCCTTTCTATTTCATTGTTCACACAGTCAAAACTAATCGCCACTGTTTAACTTCCCGAACATATGCGTGTACCACGCACTAGCGCACATAACATTTTCGAGTAAAAGAATAAACAAACATGCCTGCAACATTTCGCCTTCTCTCTATCCTCAATATGCTAATAGAAGTCGCAGACTGCAAAATTGGTGACTTGACCTAGTTGCATAGTGCATAGTTAGGCAATTCAACATGTTTGTGAATAAATAAATAAAGGTTCTTTGTGGACCCATGCTGAGGCTTGACAAATAAATGGGTAAGGTCTGTGAGTCTGTCAAATCGCTAGGTATACTGTCAAAATTTATTTAAATTTTGTCCGCATTTCGAACGAAGGAGTGCGACCTCTGATAAAACCTCAATAATTCAGTCTCTTCAGGTCCTTTCCATCCGTGCAAATAAGCATACGGCTTTGTATGGTTAAGTGGTTTTAGTACAATTGGGATGTTTCTGTGGAAACCCAATTCTACTCACGAGACAACGCAGAACAGATTCATGTTGGGGTTGTAAACTGTAAGGTGGATGAAAACAACGCTTGTTCCTCTGTCAATCCACAAATTGTCGAAGAGGTATTGCAGTTGCTGAGAGGCGACTTCCACGTCCTGGGACAAATCCACGTAGTACCCACCTCCGCCGTAGACTGCCACCAAACCAAAATGAGAACCCATCTGAAGTTCATCTCCCGGTGTAAACGTCCACCTGAATAAAAGAACTTATTGACATTTGGATGCCGTGATTAGATTAAGAGAATGAAGGGACAAAAATAAACGAAAATCCGCCCTCTTGAATTCATCAATCTCGTTATTATATCTCCGCCTTGATGAGGCATTTTAATTCTAAGAAATTTGCTGAAGTTATTACGTTTGACAGCGAAAATCGTTCCAATGCCAGAACGACCACTGATGTGATTTTCGAGCGCCTTGAAAACATTTGTCGACGTCCTCAAAGCATAGATTTTTTGTTATATTATTAAGCGTTAAAAATAATACTATGGAGATAAATAATGTGAGTGCTCAAATAGGTAGCTCGTACTACCAATGGTTTTGTTGCTGTGACAATACCTTCATTGGTAAGAGATGCGTTTCGGGAGTAGAATGTACCAAAGTTTATCCTTAAAAGTAATATCGTGTGAGAGATAGTTAATTACGTTTTGTGCCCTGTTGAGGATCTCACTGAAGGGAATCGACACTTGCATTGACAGTAACTAGCTGATCGGCTGGTCCTAGTCTAAAAAAATACTTCAGAGTGAATAGGACTTACGCAGTTGAATTCTTTGGGCCATAAGGTGCCCTATCTTCCTGCCCCATAACGTAGGTCGCGTAGCAGGTTTTAATCTGACTTGAGAAGTCATCGGGAATTACGCACGAGTTGCTAGGCATGCGGAGTTGCCGAATGCGGACTAATCCCAGACGAACTGACTCATATCCGATGTAGTAGGTTTCATTTAGGTCCATAAATTCATCGTTATACCACTTGTTTTCGTACAACTCTTCAAATAATGGTCCCCGTACAACCTAAAGGAAATACATAATGGAAGTTGTTAAAGGCAATCAAGTATAACATTACCAATTAGCATGCACCGCCAATAGACTTAACTGAAACGTGGAACAGACTGCTCAACGTGCTTATAGTCAGTTTAATAAACAATTTACTGGAAGTGGAATTGTTTTTGCAATCACCAGCTTTTACATAATCTTCCACCAGTCTTTGTCCCCTTATTCAAGTGAACATCTATATTTGAAAACAGCAACCTTGAAAATGAACCAGATTAAAAGAAGTGGAGGGAAAATGATTACTTCCTGCCAGTAACAGCATTTCTAAGATTTTCGACTACATCCCACTAATTTCTAAGTCTTCAACCTAAATGTAGACCCTACGTATTAGAGTCTGCCAAGAGCAAGATACTTAGTCTCTTTCTAAACGCCTTACCTTTGAGATATTTGTGAAAATTCTTTAGCCACCACTGAGGGAAAATTTGGGAAACTGGTGGATTTGCTTATAAGTCAGAGGTCCAAAACTGCATCAGACTGGGTTGATTTAAATATTGGGTTAATGTCGAATCAACAGGAAGTTTGTCTTGTTATTCCGACAAAGTAGTTGGCTATTTTGCTTAATCTTGAAGTCAGATTTGATAATAACGCACCCATTTGCTAACTTCGCACCCGCCAATGTAAACCCGAAAGGCTAGTCCCAGGTTTGCGACTGAATATCAGGTGGATTTCTCTTGCACAAATGTCCCCACTACCAAACGAACCGATGCGCTTAAAACGCTCCTCTTAAGACATGGCACTTCTCCTAAAAATCAACTCAAAATATGCCAAGAGTTTCGTGCAAAAATTAATTTACTTTAGCCATTTCAATTGCAGGACTGGGATTTATCTCGTGCACACTAACCTGTTTCACCATAAAACGAATTAATGGACTTGCTACTTCTTGTCTGTTGCCCGAATTTAGTTGATTGGAAAAGCTGCAAAGCTTTAATCGCGCCACTGCTCTCGGTTCCTCAAGAAAATTCATTTTGCTCACATCGTTTAAAAAGGCGAAAGAGTAGCTGTATAATCTCCTTCTGACAAATGGCACATATTAAACGCAGAAATTCATTTACAGTGAAGTTGTATTAACGTGATCACTTAAAATCCTGACTTTGAAGATGGGCTCACCGGCACAATTAACTTAACCGCCACGTGCTTTGTTGTGATAGTGGTCATGCATTTGTTTGCGCCGAAATACACTCAAGTTTCTGGTTCCCCCACCTCTTTGTTTGTCAGTCATTTCGTCAAGATCTGAGGCACTACGATCAATTTACAACTGGTAACAGGATAGTTAACTGCATCAAGATATTGTGGATGGTGGTAGGACTCTTCCCATTCCTATCACACCATTAATTTATTAATCATTTTAGGCATTTCAATCAACGTAGTTTAGTTATGTCTGTAGAAGCCTGTAGAGGCTGTTTAGCATTCCCAAGGCCTTCTCTCATTCATATTTACTGGATGCACCCGCTGCGTCCAAGAGCTTTTTAAGCTTTGGTTTAATTGAAAGATATGCATTTGCAGGAATTTGAGGAACAAGATGACAGGACCAGAACACATTTATTTTTTAAACATGAATTAGCTAAGCATGCTTTGAGACAGGATCAAAAATGAAAAACGCAGCGTAAATCAGGAACCGTGATTGGGTTTACACCCCATAATCGCCTCATAAGCATCAGTCACTCATTGGTGGGCCATTTGTGGTCTTTTGTAGCTTAGTGGACTTCAGGTTATCACCATTTTCTCAAACACAGCAAAAACCTAGTTTTTACTTGCCACGAGTGACTGTTCGGGATTGTTATGGCTACACGCATGTAACGCATCAAAACATTTTTTGGTGGGAGCTTCATGCGATGTTTTTGAATTCCGCCTCTGGGTCGGAGAAATATCTAAGCTAAAACAGGCCTCGGTTAACCTTGACAGCGGAGGAATAGGACTGTAGTTTTAAATCTCTGTGTTAGGATTGAATTAGAGGGGTTGTGGTGAATCGTGTTTATTCAACCCCTTAATCCGGTCGCTCCACCTCCTACAGAGGGTTCCCCTTGTTGCAGCATGTCGCCAGCCGCGCGAATCCTTAACTCCCCCTTCATTAGCACAAATATTTATCTTGGAGCATCCCCACACCCAGGTCTCGATGTTAGCGCATGTATGACTCACACATCCGAGGTATAAATACACACGCGCAAGCCCCACACTCGACACAACGACACCAACGTGGCTGAGCTCTGAAGAAACGGTTGTGTCCATGTCCTCTCCGGTCTTTTTCTTCATCGCGAGTATCAGGCAAGCGAAACCGGGCCAGGGTTAATTCCGTGGCCCCGGCGTGGTTCAGGACCGCATGCTGGGGCCCACAACAGTGTAAACGGCGTAAGCCAAGTGGAGAATGATAATGTGGTAAACCAATGGCACTTGAACACCGATGCCCATGCACCCATGCTGAGAGGTTTTATGCGTGATGCCGTCGATGTAAGCCAGCCCTGGGGACTGCGTTCATGGTGGTGACTAAATTGAATGATGACAGCTGCAGTCTGTGTCGTTTAAAGTGATGTCGGCAAGGAATGAGTAAACTTTATGGGAATCTGAAAATCGGTGGCTAAATTAAAGAACCTGAATGGGATTTACCTTCCATAAGTCGTCGATTGAGTTAACGGACGACATGGTTAAGTCTTCGTCAGGCACCGGCCTATTTAACAGGACGTCTCTCACTGCTTGAGTCATGTAAAAGGCCTTGGAGTCCATTATTCCGAAGGCAACTATGAAAACAACGTATAAGGATAGGTTTCACTTAAATGTCCCAAGTTTCGTTTCAGAAAAAAGTAATGTTAAAAATGAGAAAATACTGGAGAAATGACATAGGGATAAGCAAATGTCAATTCATTCCCATTAGTCCGCTATGATATGACAAATTACTAAGAGTGTTCAAATGCAATGCTGCTTGATTTTCACAAGCAACCATTGAAAGGTTGGCCGTGGATTCTAGATGCTCTTACACAACCTATACACCAATTTAATGTAATGCCACATGGTGTGCTTATTGCAAGCATGTTAAAACACTTTAATCATGTCGTTTGACATTGGAAATTTAAACTATGGAAATGGTACCTTCTGGACATTTGACTTTTTTATGGGATTTGACAGCGTCACAGTGCCAAACATCCACCCTACGCGTCAACCCGCTAGAGCATTGATTTGAAAGGTGAAATAAGCAAAATAGAACAAAACTCTTAAGATTTCCTCCGGCTCCTATGAAACTTGTCGATTCAAGGTAACAGTTTGTATATAATCTCAGTTAAATTGCACTGGAAGCGTGCCTACCACATTATAACACGTTTAGAAATGCTCAATATGGAAAAAGTGGCCACTCACTTGTTACCACTGTTATTACGAAGAGTATGTAAATAAGTAATTCACGGAGCGTTGTTCTGATGTATAAATCCCTGTCAGAGCCTGTATCTTCGGTTTCACGAGTGGCCCAGATTTCTAAATCACAAAATTACACACACAATCAAACCGTGTCATGTGCTGTGGGACGCAGTGTAAATAACAGAATAAGAACGTGCTTCGTGTGAATGCACAAAATCGATGCCAACAGCCGTATTTGTCGGCGTCACCGTAGCCCAGTGTCTCATTTTCCACTTCTTGCCTTTCATTGTCTAGAAAAACGGATTCGGCTTCGTGCTCGGTGCCTGGGTAATCACTTTCGAAGGCTGGGTTCAAGGTCATTGATGGCTAACGAGAAAAAAAGTTGTGTAAGGAAGAGTTTTGTTCAGTCATTTAAAACATGCTAATTCATGAAACGGTTCTTAACTACTTAAAATTGCATTAAAGATTTGAAAGTCTTTTTTGAGCACATGAGAAAAAGGCTCTCCAGTGGAGAAGGGTGAACTGAAAAACCGAAAACCAATAATAAACAGTTGCATTTTCTACGATTCACAGCAAGTGGCTGAAAACGCCCCAGTAGCTCCTTGATAAATGTCACTTAAGATAGAATGCAATTATGGCTGCAAGTGCTGCCTGGTTATTTTTGCTCTCGTTTTGGGTGTTTTCCATAATAGTTGCAGTTGTTTTCAACTTTGTGATTGAAACGGCATGGAAAGACTATTTTATCTTGCGTGTGCACACTCACGGCTCTCAAATCTCGATAGAAAGGTGATAAAAATATCGGTTCATGAATAACTGTAGCAATTTAAATGAACCGGACAGGTTTGGTATGTAAATTATACGTTCGTTTTGTCTGCATAAAATCCTAACACTGACACCGAAATATGGGTCACGTATGAGCAATGCATCCGCGAGAGAAAGTGCTAACGTCTAACAGCTTACAGAAACTTGCATTAGTTAAGTTGTAGACGGAACTGCGGTGGAATCGCCCATCTCCAAAAGTGGCTTTACGTGATAGTTATGGCAATTTCAGGTAAAACGGGAAGAAAACAGGTCGCTAATTTTTTTGACGTCGCAAGAGTTCACTTGGCAAGGTTTGGATCAACAAAAGTCTTGTGATTGAGTTGTCGTCTTTACCAATCCAACATATATGTACAGATTGCCATTTTTTATGCCATGCCACAGAAAGTCCACATGGACGAAGCACTGAACGTGGTTTAAATCCGGGACTGTCAGAGTTGTACGCGAGGAGAAACCTGGAGTTACTTTTAAATTTTGCCAGAACAAATGAGAATCCGTTGTAACAATTTGGCGCAGACATCAACAATGCAGACCTTATTCGGACTTCAGAACATTTTGATCTTGATCTTGTCTCTTGTAACTGTATTTTCACTTAAAGGATTCACTGATTTGATAATTCCTATCGAAAATTGGTGTGTGCATTCGGCTCTCCATCTGTCTCAGAGCAACCCTCGTAGACACCTCAGACTCGCAAGCACACACGACGCTGAATGCGCCTACATACACACAGGCACAACAAAACGACTAGATTGATTAGTCTAGGCGACGGTTATTATCTCCAGCGCCGTCGAACCGCCCTGGCACCACCGGCGTGGCACAGCCAAGATTATAAAATCTGTCGGACTGGGCCTCAAAAATTTCTGACACCCAAATGCCCATCTTGTTCAGCCAGGGGTTTCTAAAAGTGGTGGATCTAATGCGACAACATAACTTGCTCTGAACCTCAACAATCTATCTACCTTGCATTACAATTAAGCAATTTAATTTACTAATTCATCTCAGTCATTTTTATTTATAGCAGTTTATTCAGGTAATCAATGCAGGGATGTGGCGGGATCCCTCAAATGTAGCAAGTTGTCGAGAATAACGTGGGAATTTTAGCATGGCGGTATCCGTTTGCAAAGGTTATCGGATATTTAGGAGTTCGAGCAACGAAGTCCAGAAAATTTTCTAGAAATAACGCAAAATATGTTGAGCCATACTTTTTTTTGGTAAAATAAAATTCCTGTGAAATTTGCCACAATTTTATTTGCTTGCTCCTCCCCTTTCATTCTTTGCCATAGACATCTGAATTGGCCGTTCAGTTCTTTGGAAGCAGCCCAAAATAGCACATTTAAAGTCTTCAAAAAGTGATGGAATGTAATTCTTCGATGCAAATCAACTTTTAGTGTAGTTTGCGCCGGTTCATTAAGCTTTGACCACAGTCGATTTCCTGTATTGTAGGCCATCACATTTTCATCAATCGTAACGAATTTTTTTCAAAAAAACCAAACCGTTTCAACATGTGAAGTTAAATTCTTTCGCCTAATGTAAAACCCAAGTCGCGAGATTATTAACTACTTCAAGGCATTTTAGGTGAAATCGAATTGTTCCATTTGTGCCACTTTTAACCTCGCTGCATTCTCACTCACCGAATTCAAGTTTGGTTTTGTTTTGGCCATTATCAAGTTTAATGTGTTAACCACAATGTTGGTACTCTATTTAAAACAAACCCGCTGAATTCATTTCTGACGCTTGAGTCCTATTAAGCATTCGAATTAAAAACCTTACGTTCTAGTCTTAGCGAATACAGCATGCAAAGTAAGTTGAAAATGTTTGATTTTGCAGTCCACGTTAAAAGTGCTCCCAAGCTAGCGGTTGTAGTCAGTGTGTTTCTCAGGTAAGGTGGAGGTGACAACCTCAAAGTGCCGGAGGCGAGTATCCCATCATCTACAGAAATCATTCAGAATAAACACAGGGCTAATTGTGAAGACGGAAATTACGCTTCTACCGATTCATTATCTTTCCGTTCGCTTCGTAAGGGCTTACAATGTCAAGACGACACCAACAAACTACCAGCAATTTAATATGCACCCGCATAAGGCTGTTTTAAAATGCATGCAGTCAATCTAATTTCCAGGAAAAATTTTTTATCAAGGCCATTATAAGGCCTCTATTTAACTAAGAAAAATATTTATCACTATATGGAGGCATAACTCGGATTAAGAATGTTGGAAGTTCACGGTTGCCCTGTCGCCCGCGCACGAACACATTCACTGGCAAATGACGTACGTGGTCTCACTATACATAAAACCTACCAGCATATGTAGCTACCCACAACTCATAAACAGAAGACGCTAAACCACGTGATTACTTAAGTGTCATGCCCCATCACTCGTCCTCTCTTCACATCAGCCACATCCAGTTGATTCGCCTCAAATGAGATCAAATTATCTTCTTTGTTGATTTCAAGAAGATTGAAAAAAGTCGTTAAAAGATTGACTGCATCATCAAAAGCCTGAATGAATTCGGGCTGATTTACAAAAAAATATGTGAAAATTAAGTGTATGGACCATACAGCCATCAATTAGTGAAAATCATTAGTATTTGATTTTGTGGAGTTCGTTTGCTTATTTTAGCTCCTATGGACTTTCATGAAATATGGCCATTTAAGGTAAACCAGAATACAATTTAGTTAGAACACAAGCTTGGCAGCATCATCAACAACAAATGTGTCTCGTCCAATGCATCGTCTTGAACCCGTAACGATCCTCAGCCAGAAATATTTAATTAACTAAGGAAAAAATGGTCACCAACAGAGACTTTCTTCCAGATACTCTAATAACGCGACGTCTGGTTCTCATACCTTTATGTGGGATATATTTTAAAGCCCACACATAGTACCTTCCGAAGACATTTGTCATAACTCACTATTACTAACCAAACTGCACATTTTTGCCGGATTTGAAGTCAATCAAAAATACTTGAGAGATTTCAGAAAAAGGTGAGGAGTGGAGAATGACGCTCTATTCTCTTCATCATTATCGGTAAAAACTAAGCGACACATTGGCACAATTAAGCATTTGAGGATGTAACGTGGCTCCATGAGGCCATCTACCAAGCTACTGGAAATCGGTTGGCTTGAATTTGCATCCATTAACAAAAAGTCGACCAACATCACTTACTGTTTCGTGCAGTGCAGATGATTTACACACCATCTCGTTCTTATGCTTAAATTATTTAATTTCAAGTGCTAAATCACGCAATATCTCGGTAAAATACTTGACGTTTATACATCACAGACTTGTACATGCCATATCCTATAATTATCGTATTTATTTTTATCCAAGTGGATGTATTTTAGCGAATACAAACATAGCAATCATAAGTTAAATGAAATCGTCCAGCATATGTCTATAAGCACTCACGTTACTACTGTCCGTCACCTAAGTCTCCAGCTGGAATTGTGCTTGTAACAGATCTTTAGTTTAAATTTAATAGGGCCATAACTATGGCAACAATATTCACTTCTCATGTGTTCCTCTTCATACATGAGGCAGCTTTAACACAATGTGGTGACCATGGCTACGGTGGCTACTGGAACAATAGATTAGCAACATTTAATGCAAAACATCTTGGTTTCTCATTTGCATTAGGAGTAAGACTGATTAGCGATACACCACAAGCCACAATTTCTATCCCACATTGTTCACTTGATAAGGGCAAAATGATTGTGGTTGTGTTGCCATTATCCAACTTTTCGTAAGCACAAAAAAATCCAGATTATCTCGCGATTGTTGAACTTTACCAGATTGCCCTACTTGTGTGAGTTGGCAGGCGAGCACTTTGATAGGTATCCATGGTTGACTCAGAAGACCCTCTCAAATATGGGATGGCAAGTTCTCCCACACGCGACGTATTAACGCGACTTGGCTCCATCCAACTTCCATTTGTTCCGATCAACGCAGCAAGCCTTAGTGAACAAACAATCCACAACGCTGAACTCTGGAATTTCGTAAATTAGTCGATGATTTTATTGCCTCGAAGTTTGCAAGGTTTTTTCACGACAGCATTCGTATTTTATTTAAGAGATGACGCACGGCCATAGAAGACGACAGAAAATATTTCCAAGATTAAGTTCGCTGTTCTCTACCTTTTTATATTAAAAAAATTACTGCAAGAGTACACAAGTTCAACTTTTCAGAGGTAACACACAATGTGCACGTGCGATCGAGTTCGAAAGGATTTACTTTAAGTTCATAAACGCTTTAACAACGAAACCTCATGAACCTTAACAACAACAGCCTTCGTGGCAACGTTTTGCAGTGTATGTTTGCTCATGCCTTCTTCCATGTTGTTTTGACAGAAGCCACCGTTTTTTCCACGTTCATCTTCTCCAGACGACTTGGTTTAGTCAATGGCATGAAAAGCCTTGCAACTGCAAATTAATAAAGACGAGCGCGTTGAATTTGGTGCAAATACCAAAATTTAGGCCCCAAGTTATACCAAAGGGGAGGGGTCATGATTTGCATTTGCTGGACCAGATGCAGGGAGTTAATAAC